ACATTTGCCCTATTAATTTGTTTATTCATTCAATAAATATTTAACTTCAAATATTAGGCACGGTACTAGGTGCTACAAATACAGTGATGATGAATAAAATAGACACACAATTCCTGTCTTCATGGACCTCACAATTAAGCAGAGGAAGCAGATGTTAGACAAATAAGCACAGAAATAAACATTACAAATTATGGTTAAGTACTATGAAATAAAAGTACAGGTCCCAGGTGTAAATTTAACAGAGACACCTAATTTAGACTGGGAGGTCAAAGAAGGCCTCTCTGAAGTCATTTGATCTGGGACTTCAGGGTAAGTCAAGAGTGATAGGAATAGTTAAATATTTAGAGAGAAACAATAGGAATTCTGGGATATACTTGAAAAAATATCACTGGGGGGAGGAGGAAAAGATATCATGAGTGGATAAAGACGGCCATAAAGTAACGACTGTTGATGCTGGGTGAGAAGTACAACAGAGTTCATGATATTATTCTCTCTATTCTCATACATGCTTAAACTCTTCTCTAAAAAAAGAGTTTAACAATATAACAAAGAATTGTAGGCAAGAATATTTCTGGCAAACATGAATGAGGGCCCTGAAACACGAAAGCAATTGGTGAGCTTTAATGCCTGAGTGACTAGAACGGTTCTCAAAGGGTGGTCCGATACCAGCAGCACCAAGAACTTGCTAGAAATGCAAATCTCTGGGAATGGGAGCCAGAAATCTGTATTTTAGCAAGCAATACAGATGGTTCTGATGTAAGCTCAAGTTTGAGAAATACTAAGACTCTACATAGAAGATAGTGAAACAGAAAATTGTGGCTTAAGATGAAACTACAGAGAGAAATGGAGGCCAGTCATATAAAATATTATAGGCTATGTTAAGAATTTTGGCTTTAATCCTAAGTGCATGGGATGCCCATTAAGCAGCTTTAAACAATGGAGTGATCAATTTTACATTGTCAAAGGTTACCCTACCTGTGGCTTGAATAACTTTTTACCTGAGTCGAGAAAAGAGGCAGGGAGTTACATCATGGAAGATGGCAGAGTAGGGAGTATAGCCTTCGGTCCAATGATTCCCAAGGAACTGAATTCTGACATCACTTCAGTGAGCTCTGAAGTAGATCTATACCTGTGAGGTGACTGAGCCCCCATGTGACCATGTGACATTGATTGGAGTCTTGAGAGAGATCTAAAACTAGAGGACCTAGCTGAGTTATATTGGGATGCCTAACTCACAAAGACAAGGAGATAACAAATGTTTTAAGTCACTAAATTTGGGGGTAATCTGATACACAATATAATTAAGTCACTATATTAAGTTAATTAAAAACAAGTGTTTTCCCTGTGTGATTTAAGCCAATTGTACCACAACAAAAGGTACAAATGGTTATAATCATTTAGGACTATTTTTCACTGTCATGTATGAAACTTTACTATATAAATATGTAAAATATAGCTATTATGTGAATATGTAACTTATTTGTAATTATATTTTATGTATGAAATAAGCATATTTTATAAATGTAAAATATATAAAAATAAAGTATCTTGACTGCTTCTCTCTCTAAACATTAATATCTCTAAGCACAAAACACACTTAAGAGAGGTTTCTTATTAACAGTAGTGAAAGTAAATCCATATTTCAAAAAGTCATCTTAAGCATTTAGAATAGATATATCCAAGTTCCTTTAAGATCTGATTAGAGCATCACTGTTTTAACTTTACAGTACACCTAATCGAAATGCATACCCGAAATATTTTTTACTCTTCATTTGTGCTCCTATTGCTTTATCTTTAATCGGTTCACTTGCAGTAATCTTTTTAACCAACCTGCCATTGTGTTACCTCGCACTGAAAGAGAAAGAGGAAAAAAGGAGGGAGAAGGAAGGGAGGAGAGTGAGGAGAGAAAACTAATGCCAAGTAACATTTGAACACCATATACTGACAAAGGACAAAAAAAAAAAGTTGCAAACAATCTTAAATTCTATTCTTAATAGGTTTCTTCCTCATAGTGATATGGCTCAAGCAATTCTGAAACTATTTTATGTGGATTATTGAATGTAGCAAATGAACGGATGTGCTGACATTGTTGGGCACCAGGATTCTCACTGGAATAGGTATACAAGTAAGAAATGAGGATGGCAAAGAAGAACCCTCTGAATTTGGACTACAACTCATGGTATCTGAAATGCAAGTGTTCCCTAGTTCTGCCCACTGAAAGAATCCAGAAGTAATGAGCACCAGTAGTAACCAGGCACACACCTAGGCCCCATATTTTGGTTTCTAAATATCATTTATCACTAATAAGGAATCACAACTCCTTGGGGAAATAACTGATTCCATAGTTGGAGCAGAGTTTATTTAAAAAAAATTTTTTTTTAAGAAAAAAATAAGGCCAATTCCAAAGATGAGATAAGAAAGGTACAAGATTACAAAATGAGCTAGACTATCTTGCAGTGCTAAAAAGAAATTAAGTGCTAAAAAAACCAACAACATCCTATTAATACTGGGGCATATCAGAAACCAGCTTAAAGGTACCCCCCTGACCATATCTAGGACTATGTGAACATCAAATTAAAAATAGTAACAAATTCTTATTCATTGACGAAAAAGAGTTCATACTGATGACTGTCAAATAGGAAGACAGGAAGGTAGGTAGGTAGATGGATAAAGACTTCCAAATATAAACTAAAAATACATACATATATATGGTGATAATAAAAAACAGATTTGGTCCTTGTCCCCAATCCCTGGCACAGATCTAAAACTCTTGAAATTTATTGAATCATAGGAATGTCTTTCATCATTCATAACAAGTCCTTTTAAACTTTAGACCATACCCAAACATACGCTAAGAAGGTGACTACTGGTGGGCCCTCCAACAGTTTCATAGGAGGACCTGGTCACCAGAAAGACCAAGGGCATTACAGAACTGGAAATTTTAGCAGCTGCCCCTACACCTCCAGGGATAGGAGGGAGAGTGGACACTGAGTTAAATCACTTAGCCAATGACTTATTCAATCATACCTGTGTACTGAGACCCCAAATTAAAGCTCTTATATGGTCTGGGGAGCTTCCGGTTGGTAAAACATCAATGTGCTAAGAGTGCCACATGTCTGAAGAGGGCATGGAGGCTCTGTGGCAACCCCACCCCCACCTTGCCCTATGCATCTCTTCCATTTGGCTGTTCCTGAGTTGTACCCCTTATAATAAAACTTTACAACAAAATGTAACCATAAGTACAGTGTTTTCCCGAATTCTTCAGGTCATTCTAGCAAAATATCTGGGTGGGGGACGGGGCATGGAGCTAAGCCCTGAACTTGGATCTGCCAATAACTCAATAGTTGGTGTCAGGGATGAACTGAATTGTAGTAAACCAAGTTGATGCTAGAGAATTGTTAGAACATAAATGAGGGCAAAAGAAGGTTCTTCCTTATTATAGAATCCCAAGAGACAAATAAGGAAGAAGTGATGAATTCGAAAAGTCAGAATTTTGCAAGTACCACAGTAAAGCCAAGGTCTATCTAGCACTCAGAATGACTCTTTTACCACACATCATTTTGTAATATCATCATCGGTCTTTTAAATGGGCGGTCCCTAACCTTTTCGGCACAGGGACCAGGTGCTCCTATGAGAATCCAATGCCTGATGATCTGAGGTGGAGCTGACGCGGTGATAAAAGCGTAGCTGCAAGTACAGATGAAGCTTTGCTCCCTTGCCTGACGCTCACTTCCTGCTATGCAGCCCAGTTCCTAACAGGCCATAGACCAGAACCAGGGGTTGGGGACCCCTGATTTAAACTACTGATTGGTTTTCCGAGTTAATGTAGATCTTCCAAATGCTGGCACATTTCACTAAACAATTTTTTTAAATCATGGTCATACTATTACTACCCATCTCATTAGAAAAGTCTACAAGCATTGGGAAGTATCAAGCGTATGGTGGCAGAAACAAGGTTCTCAAAATTCTACTTCTGCTTAAAAGACTGATTTATCATTGGCAACAAATAGTATCAACTGTTTTTCCTTAGAGTAATAGGCTCACTTCACTTCTTTCCAATGTCTGCCAAATACCCCAGAATGAATAACCAAATTTTATCTATTAGTTGTTTTTTAAAATAGAAATAATGTGCTGTGAAAGGAGTGGGTAGTTCAGCTCCCAACTCCAAAAATCGATTGCATAGGTGCTTTACCTTAAGATAACCATTGTACTTCATCAGGAAGTACCTGCTTTGGAGGTAGTTCCCATTTCCTCACACAGAATACCAAAAAGATGTGTGTCCCAAGGTCAAGTTTCAGTAAAATTAATTATTCTACTATCTCATCATCTTAGGTGAAAGTAGCTTTAAAAAAAAAAAAAAACTGAATGCACGGTTGGGACGACTACAGGTAATTACTAATGCATTTTGGTGCCACTGCCTTGACGTAGTACTAATACGTCAGTTTTCTCACCACTGCTTTCACACTAAGTGTGCGAATGTAACACAATGGGGGGGAAGCAAATAATAATACTTGAGTATTATGAAAAGAGTTCTTCGTAGAGCTCTAAAAGACAATGGGAACCCTCCCAAAGGACTACATACTACACTGTGAGAAATGCTACACTATAGTACCTTTTACATTACAAAGGAACGTTCTTGCTAAATGTTAGGTTGTGCTATAACTTCTAAAACGATTACATTAGTATTACTTAGAAGAAAACCAGATAAATTATAAGATTTTATGTTGTCCTAAACTTGAACACTATAATTTGTTTATTGTTAAATACAGAATATGTAACAAAGACTAAGTTTCAACACTTAAGCATTTTTTCATAACGTAAAGTAAAATATTTTAAAATATTTAACAAAAAACATTTTCCATCTAAGTGTCTAAACAGCCTTTTCTTTATTAACTTTTTTAAAAAACATCCTCGCATGAACTGTAAAATCTGTCCCTTCATAAAGCTGTATTATCATTCAGTGTCATATGAAACATTTTTTAAAGTGCATTGTTCAATACCTTCTCCCTGGAGAGGTTTTCCAAATGTGAAGTTAGACCATGTATTTCTTTGTCTTTCTCTGCCAACTGAAGCTAAAGAAGGAAAGAAATAACAATTAATTTTTTTCATTACCTACTCTCTCCTTACATTTCATGAGTTTATACCAGTCTATCAAAATAACTGCTATTACTATATCCATGTGTTTTCCTTGGTTCTCATTCTTTGACATCTCTGATTTGTCATTATTAACCAACTTCTTTTACTCTTAAAACTTTTCCTCTGGTTTATATGGAACAGCACCAACATTGTCATCCTCTCATGCTGTGTGTGTCCACTTCACAATTACAAATATGAGTATTCTCCAAAGGTTCGTCTTTGGCTGCTTCTTTCTGTATGCTCTGAAAAAGTCCCTTTCTTCTATGCTTTCAATTATCATCTCCATGGGAATAAATCACAAATATTAATTCATGCACACTCTGTCTTTCCCAAAGTCCAAATCTGCCTTTTTAATTGATGATTAGACATGTTTTCACTGTTGTCTTTCTGCACGGCAAGGGCCAAATGCCCCAAAGCTATTTTTCTATTTTTCTGTTAATATTATCAATCTCAGAGCCTGCTGTGATTGAAGCTAGGAAATTATGTTAGAATACTTCTTCCCTCTCTCCTTCCTCTCCCACCTCACAACATTTTCAGTCTCTAAGTCATTCATTTATTCATTCAACCACCACCCATCGCTTGCTTGTTACAGCATAAGCATTGTGGACACAAATAAAAATACTACTACTCCTTAATGGTTTTTCCCATAAGAATGTCTTTCAAAGCTCTCCTTACCCTATTCAATGGTAAGGTGACTGGGGAAGGTACCCAAGGAGGTGAAATTATCAATTCATCCTAAGAATATTTCTACCTGATTTTTTTACCTTCAAAAGCCCTTCCCACCTATAAATCCTCTCAGTGCTACCAAATTATTCTCAAAAAGACCCACTCTAGTTGGGTTTTCTCCTTGAAATATCTGAGCAGCTAATCGCGCCCAAATTCCATTTTAGGCTGCCCAAATTTGTCTTCGTCCTCTCTTTCAAGTCTAATCCACTCCATTACAGACATTAAAGTCCTATTAGTCAAGACTGCTCACAGTTCCCAGACGACGCACTGCCCTTCTGACCTCCAAACCAGTATTAGCAGTTCCCCATTTCCTCAGGATGCCCTTGCGCTCTTTTCCCAGCTCTGTTTCTCCTCTCTTCCACTTTGGTCTTCCAGAGGTCTAGTTTCTCCACAGTCTAACTCCTAAATATTCAATTGGAAACAGCTCTAAAATACTTAAGACTCATCATTTATGTAGCAAGTACTTCATCACATTTTGCCTTGCCTGGTGGGTATTTTTGTCTAAACAGTGAAAAATAAGGGAAAGGACACTAAAGTAAATGCCAGGCACTTTTTACCAGCTGTGTAACCGTATTACGTTGTTTAATCTCAACTGCTCATTTTTATCACTAATGAAAAAAGTTATTTATCTTCCCATTGGTTTGACAGACAGTTACCTAAGCTGTGAACGTGAAAGTCGTGAATATCACCATTACACTCTAACCATCTCTACTACGTCATATCATAAAAAGGTTCAAAAATTTCACTCTGAAAATATAAGATTTAAAAAGGACCACTGGTAAAATTATCTTAAGTCTGTAAATGTGCCACCCTCTCAATCCCCATGGGGGAAACTGAAGAATATTAAGAGCATTACATTTAGGTATACTTAATTATAACTTAGCAAAGTTAAATAATTTAGAACTTCCTAGTCTTTAGTAGCACAAAAATATGCAAATTATATACACACATATATATACTTTTATCCATATTAGCTAAACAGCCTGCTATTTTTTTCTCTAACATTCTTATAAATATCATTTACTATTCAGGCTTTTTTGATGCCTTATGGTACACTGGCAAAAATGTACTCTGCAGTATTTCACTTAGGATCATAAGTGACACATTTTGGTGATAAATTTAAAATTCTTATACGAATTTTAAAAATTACTAATCAAATATTATACTCCCACAAAAATGTCAAGGCCCTAAAAAAATTGTATGTACACATTCATGTTTCTTTTTAAAAGAAGGATAATGATCACTTTTCATCTTAAAAACTAAGCATGATTAAAATATATAATTCTAATAACCATCTTAATTCACAGAATTAAAGTCACAAGACAATGCATATGAGTATACATTTTCTTGGTTCATAGTTTATGAACTAAATGCAACATAACTAAATATATAATACACTTTTATTTATACACTAAAATACTGTCCCAATTATCCATATTAAAAATGTACATTAGATTAATAAAAATTATAGATAATACATTTTCAAAGTACCAGGTACTATGCCTCAAGTTATACGAATACTAAACTTACTTTGTAATTGTCTTCTACTTCAGCTAGTTCTAGTTTTACATTTTCAGCAATTTCTACTTGTTCTTTCCATTTCAGTTCCATTTTTGCAAGTTCATCAGCATATTTATTGCATTTCGTTTTCTCATCCTAAATGAAATTAGTAAATTACCACAAGATTTTAAATCCATATAGAGCCAATATCTACACAAACATAGATATGTGGTAAATGTTTATTACAGCATTATTGTAAACAGTATAAAAACTAAAATAACTAAATGTCTGTCAGGGGAAGACTGAATAAATCATTTTATATCCACACAATAGAATTAATGAAGAAAAATTTCAAGACACATTAACTGAAAATAGTAAGTTGCAAAAATAGAATATGTAGTATAATCCTATTTGTTTTAAAAGTTGTTTAACACAATTTTATATGATGCCTATGCAGTGTATAAAAATATAAACCAAATTATTACTAGCTCTTATCTCTGGGGATCAGGATCATGATGGTACTTTTTACCATCTTTATTCTTTATTTCTGTACTGACATAAGATTTCACAATAACCATGTATTACTTTTGCAAAAGGAGGTAATAAAAATCATATATATATAATGCCACTGTTTCCAGACATTAATAAATAAAACTGAGATTTCCTGACCAAGACAATCTCTAGATTGACTTCTTATACACTGATCTTCTTTATAACGCAGAATGTTAAAAAGAAAGGAATTATAAACATGACAAAATTGGCCAATTTGATTTTGAATGTTTTTGTTCAAGGTGAAAGTTTAAAAATATGCTTTGAGCAATTCAATGGAGAAAAAGTATTTTCAACAAATAATGCTGGATCAACTGAATAACCATACTACACATACCATACCTCACGCTATCCACAAAAATAAACTTAAAATGGTTAATACATCTATATGTAAAATCTAAGACTATAAAACTTCTAGAAGACAAGATAGCAGAAAATCTTTACAAGTTAAATTAGGTAAATGTTTCTTAGAATATAAAAAGCACAAACACAAAATAAATTGATGCTCTGTACGTCATCAAAATTAAAACTCTTCCTAAAAACCATTAAAGAAAAGGCAAGCCATAGACAGGAGAAAATATTCACTACACATATATGAGACAAAAGACTTATATCCAGAATATAGAACACTTAGAACTCAGTATGATGAACCACCCAATTTTTAAAGTGACAAAAGATTTGACCTCTTGCAATAAGAATTAAGTACGATATCAGCAACAACATGCACATGTCTCAAAATAATTATGGTCAAAGAGGACAGGAAATAAAGAGTACGTACTATACGATTCCATTTATACAAACTGTACAAAAGGCAGACTAATCTTAGTGGCAGAAAGCAAGCCAACAGTTTCCCAGGGATGGGGTGGGGGGAGGATGAGTTGCAAATGGGATGGGTACTAAAAAAACTTTGGGGAGTAATGGAAATGTTCATTATCTTGACATGGTGGTAGTTTCACAACTATATATGATAAAACTGATCAAACTGCAGACTTTAAATATGAGTTTATCAGACTTCAATTTACCTCAACACAGTTGTAAAAAAAAAAAAAGTACCTTGAGAAGTTTTTAGTTTCGATGGAACATTCTATCTTCCTTTCAGTAATACTATATAATGAAAATTGTTCCAGAATCGTTTCATTATAAAAAAAAAAGTTTTAGTCCCTTATAAACAACTTTGAAATTAAAGGTAAAACTGTTCTAACCAACCCACAGAAGGAAAAATCATTGGAAGCAACATAAACATTCGAAGTTTGGTTAAAAGATTGCATTAATATTACTTAGAAGGAGGTAACAGAATATTTTAAATTGCTCTAGTAACCTCGAGGTAATGCATGAAGTTCACTCTATAGCTCTAAAAATTATCCCTCTCCTCTCCATATGCAAAGAAACAGATACGAAAACATATTTAAACAAAAAGTACATGCATAAAAACATCTTTTCCGCTCTTCTGTAAATCAGATATAAATGAGAAGCATTTTTCCCCTTTGTCCTTTAATACTCCAAATGTGTTGCAAAACTGAAATGCTTGAATAATACAGTTTAAAATAATCAAAATAAAAAACATCATAAAGGCAACAACTCAACTGATTAATGTTTTTTTCCCACTTGGGAAATCTGATCGTTTTAAGATGTGGTAGAATTCTTTGTTATTATTACAGTAATTGTTAAAGGAGCACTTCTCTTTTATGAAGTTCAAACACCTTTCATGTATCCTTTTAAATAAGACAATTAATATCCACCTTTAATCAGTTGCCCATTATTAATAGAAACATTAGGTGAACAGAAAGTAATTTTAAGGTCATGATTTAAATCACAAGCCTAATTTGAAGGTACACAGAGCAACATCCCTCATCATCTCAACAGTTAAATGAAATACCAATATACAGGTATAAAAAAGAAACCCTAGGACATCCATCCATCAAAACAATAAAGGTAAGCTAAGACATTACATTTGATAAATCTATCTTTCACTTACTTACAATGTAGCTAGCTTACCTGCAAGAGTTGTTTACATTTATTATATTTTTCTGTTTTGTCAGCAATTTCTTTGGTCATTTCACAGACTTGCCCCTTTGTTACAATGTCAAAATCTGTCTCAGCTATAACAAGGCAGAAAATAAGATTAAAAATTATTTTCCCTCTTATATTATCTTCCTGTTCAGAATAACTTTAAGGTCAGTATACTGTGAAATATAGTAAATGGAATACGGAAGGTGAGAAACATCTATTTAAAAATATGTATTCATATACTAAATAAACAAAGGATATAACATCAACTCTAGGTGAGAATATTTGAAATGTCAGTTTGGCCAGAACCAAGTTCACATTCAATAACGAAAGGATCATTATTTTTTTTTTAATTAGCTCAAAATAGATCGAAAGCATACTCTGAGAAAACATTTTAAAACTTTTTTCCAGTCCTTCATTACTATTCACTAGGTCTTTATTAAGTAAATAGTCTACAACACCATCTAGGTACTACAGAGGATGTACAGAAATGGAAAACAGGATCCTGTTCTGTAGCAGCTGAACCTAATTAAATATTTAATAGTATAGGAAATTTACAATACATTTAAAAATTATAAAACATCAATTGCCCCAAACATTACACAAGGAAATATACTTTTATATACTCTAGTACTCACTTTCATTATTGGCAAATCGTTAACATAAGGTGAAAAAAATGAAAACAAGTGAAAACCTAGAGTTAATTCAAATTTTCATGTTATTCATGTATTCACTGTCTCTAATCTGTTCTATAAATTAATAAACTAATGTAAAATTTAACTTATCCACCAACAAGTACACTAACGAGAAAAAGTACCCTATTGATCCAAAAGCAGCCAGGGAGAGAGATGAGAGACACCAAACAAGGGATTTATAAGTTATTTCCCCCAACAGAATTGTACAATTAAAATGTCAGAAATGTTCCAAAATTCCACAGATTTAGTGGAAATTTAATTAAAAATTCAATTTTTGGCTTTTGTCTTATAGCCCAAATGATAACATATTTGAGCTTATAAACACCAGCTCACTGAACATTTATCAATATTCTCATGAACATGGACAATGGACTCTCACTGAACATTTATCAATATTCTCATGAACATGGACAATGGACTCGTGGTTACCAGAGGATGGGAGTAGGGGGGATTTAAAAAAAAATCAAATAAATCAGTCAATCTCCTTAAAAAAATAAACAAATAAAACTGGAAAAAAATATTCTCATGAAGACAAATACTCGTTCACACTCACATTTTGTATATTCACCACATGCATGACTTACTTTTAGACCCTTACTTTCCCTTTGCCTCAAATTCCTTCACTTATAAAGATTTAACGCTCCCTAAAATTCCTACACCTGGAACAGGGCAGAATAAATCAGCATAAACGCTTTTCAAGGCAGGACACTACACAAAAAGTCTAAAAGATTTTTACCTGCAGAAGGTGGTGGCTTTACAACTATAGTAGAGGCAGCAGTGGCTGGGTCTGTGTTTGAGGTATCATTCACTTTCTGCTGATTCCCAATTTTCTTTGAGAAGACACTATTATTATTGGCCTATTCAAAACATTAACAATAAATTGTTAAATTAATTATATTTTCTTCTTATAGTAATTGTGTAAATAAGAATCATATCAATAAATCTTTGGGGGTGGCTCCATAGTGTAGTGGTTAGCACGTCTGCTTTGCACGCAGAAGGTCCTGGGTTTGTGCCCCAGGCGGAGCCACAGACCATACCGTGGGTATGCCTGGATGCCCGCCCCACTCAGAGATCCAGTTCTTAAGGGGAAATGGCAACATCCATGGGTCAGGGGTAGAAGTGGGGGTTGGGGGGGTGAAGGGAATTAAAGGAGTGGCGGGGAAGAAACCCTGAAAAGTCCACAAAGTTGCTATTATCCTAAAAGCCAACAAAGACTAAAGTTGCACACATCGCTTTACTCACATTGCAAAAGAGAACAACCGTATTACGTTTTTTCTTAGGAAATCATCAAAACAGGCCATTCACGGAAATCTCACAAGTTTTCTACTACGAAGTCATAATCAAAGGCCCAAAACAACAATTTGTACATGTGGGTCATATTTAAAGTATAATGTTTTTCACAAAAGCCTTCCTACTTTATCACATGCGTTTCTTGCTCCTTTTAGATTTCAAAAAAGACTAGGAAAATATCTGTATCATATAGTACAGTACAAATAAAAATGTCTTTACAGTAAATTTGGTTAGTAAAGAGAACTGCGGTATCATTCTCAACTTCAGATTTTAAATGAGTTTCTTTACTTCCAAGACTCCATTATGTAGCAAGGCCTTATATTTCAATACGATTTGGGGGCCCACATTAAAACCCACAGATAACAAAATAGAAACATTTTGATTTTACTGAATATGCCTACTCACTCTCAAATGGAACACAAATTAATTAGCTAACACTTTTTCACTCTTCCTAATCTCGTGGATATGAATAGGATAAAAGAATTCACCAATGACAACTGAAAAACCACCTAAGACCTTGAGGATGATCAATGGTGAATCTCACTGAGGACAGGTGTCACTGTCTTAAGGAGAGATTCAGTAATATGTATTGCATCTTTAAGTGAAAAAGACATTTATGAAGATCTTAGAGGAAAGTGCTATAGAGGGCTCCCTCCGGTTTTTTTGTTTTGTTTTGTTTTGTTGCTGCTGCTCTTTCTTTGTTGGTTCTCCAGCAAATAAAAATTTCAGATTTTAAAAAAAGTATCATTATAAAATTAGGTCAATGACTTGAACTCAAGCAGAGATAAATTACATTTAAAAGGTTGACAGAATAAATTTGATTTGCAAACAAAATATTGGTAAGAGAAATATTACACGACATTTCAATTCAATTATACTTACTGACTGGTCTGAAAGTTTGTTTATTTGTTTCTGGAGCCTCTGGCATTCCTTGAATTTTTCTTTATAATGATCTGCTGCCATCTGAAGACGAAGTTTCAGATCTTCAACTTCTCTTCTCAGTTCATGTTCCAGTGTATCAGTCTTTTCCTGAGAGAAATAAACACTACCTTTACGAAAAAGATAAAAGTTTCATATCTTATAATGCAAGAGTAAATCTAAACTTCATTTTCACTTTTTTCTGGCTTTTAATTTTTATTTGTTTTGGAGTTTTGGCTACAGAACCACATTACCTCTCCTAATAAATCTGGCTTTATATTCTTAGGACTAGGGTTCATTAAAAAACTAGAGAAGAATAATCCACCTCCCGAGGAGCAAGTATTACCCTGTTAAATAACCATAATACCATTTTATGCAGCTAGTAAATAAGAAATTCCAAACAAAGCCATATATACCTGACATCAGAAAGTTTAATTAACAATAGAGCAGCTTTTACTAACCATTAGGAATTTGCTTACAGCACTTTTTCTTAAAGCTTACTTACATTATTTTCAACCCAAGAAGTTACGATGACTAAACAAAATTAATGGAAACTTAAAATTCTGTGATCAAGAACCTGACCTGATTTAACGTAACTCATTCTAATAATGAGTTTTGAGCAAAATGGAAATTCAAAATTAACCTGGTCTTTTTTCGCAGCATTTAGTTTAAGTTCTGCCACTGCATCATCTAACTGCTTTTTGACTTTCTCGTTTTCCAAGCGTGCTGTATGTAGATCTGCCATCGTTTTATCTCGCATGTTTACAGCATCACTAAGTTCTTTAGTCAGAAAGACAACTTCTTGCCGAGTTGCCTGAATCTGTTCCTCTGCTTTACGAAGTTGCTCCTTCAAAATAAATGTATCTTCCTGAAGAAAGGCAAATATATTTGTAATTAAAACATTCAAATAAAAAGCAATTTTTACTGATATTTCAACAAATCCAAAATTTTAAATTAAATGTTTTCCTAGTCATGACTTAAATGAAGTAAATAAGTCTATAAAAAAACTTAAGATATGACTTTGTTTTTAGAGTCACCATACAACAACCCTATGCACTGGGTATCACTACGACTTTATACATGATGAAACTGAAATACAGAAGACAGGCAACACACCCAGCACTCAACAGCCTGGCCTAACAGAGACTCAGATCAAAGCTTTCATCCCCCAAATCTGTCCACAGCTGGAAGTATTAACCTTCATTTTTTATAATCATCAATAAAAACTTTCAAAAACTTCTTTGTAACAAAAAATATGTCCTTTAAAAACACTGTACTTAAAAAACAGTAATATTCCAATATTAGGATGGGTTTAGGATAATCTGTACACTTACAAAGAGTTGGATTTACATAATCTGTAAGTGGTATAACCTTTCTCATCAGATTTTTAAAACATTCATGAACACCTTTAAAAAGCTTTTGATCTAGCAATTTTATTTTCATGCATTTTTAAAGATATGAACATAGGTTTAGCTTTCCAGGGAATACTATTTTACTGAAATATTCAGTAAAATATTAAAATAATGAACAATTATAAGTCAAAAATGTCTAAAAATGAGAATCTATTATAAATTATGATATATCCTCCACACAATGAAAGTCTATACAGCCATTACAAACAGCAGTATATAACACAACACTGTTAGTATATTATTGAGAAACAATCTGAAAATTTAAACACGTGACCCAACAATTGCACTTGGAAGAATTTATTCTATACATTTATACATGTGCCTAGATAGCCATACAAGGATGTTTATTGCAACTCGCATGTAATAGCTAAAGATTGTACATAGCTAAAAACAATTACATTCTATATAGCTGTTAAAGAGATACTGCACAGCTGTTCTAATGAGAAAAGATCTATATGCGTACTCATACTGCAAGATACTCATTCCATAACCTTTTAAAAGGTTTTGAGACATTATACATATTCTCTGTACATGTAATATTTTTTAATAAAACTAGTTAATAGATTTCTAAAAAAAATTAAAAATTCTATAATGATATATCTGAGAAAAGACAAGAGTTACTTTTACTTTGTACCCTCATGTATTGTTTGAATTATTTCATAAACATGACCTTGCACTGCTTTTATAATTTTAAAGTTTTAACAATTAGGAGTCATATTTCCATTCCTATGTTTTTCCTCACAAAAGTCTTGCTTAAATAGGAAAAAGGTAAGAGATATTTTTAGCATTGTAGTAAATAACTAATAAGCAATTGAATGTATCTTTCATTTTTACACTTACAATCTGCTACATTAAATACCCTGAAAAATAACTTGGGCCTTAATCATTAATTCTGAAGGTCATGCACATCTGACATTTTACGTGTTACATTAACTTATGCCCGAGTGTATTTAACAGCAAACTACTGAAAACATAATATTCATCCATAGAAGAAATCGATGTAAATCTACATAATTCAGTGTTACACCACCATTTTTAAAAAATCAACACAATCTCTATGAACTGATATGGAATGATTTCCAGTTTATATTGTTAAATTTTAAAAAAGTGCAAAAGAGTATATATAGCATGGCACCTTTTTTTAAGAATCAAGAAAGAAGAGGATGTGTGCACACGTACATGCACATAAGCTTATTTTTGCAAAAAAAAAAAAAAAAACAAAAAAGATACAATGGAAACTGAAAAGTGTTTTTTAGGGAAGAGATCAAGTCATTTGGATATATTTTTTATATCATTTTGTCTTCTGAATGATGCAACTATTTTACATAGTCAAAAAATTTTTAAAGGTTAGAAAAATAAGCAAATCTTAAAATTAAATACTAATAAAAATAAACTATATGACAAATTCATAACGTTAAATAATGCAAGTAATTTTAAACATGGTACTTTACATCTTTAGTGTAATATAGTCAAAGAAAAAGGAGTTGAAAAGATCTTGATTTTATTTAGAAGATTTATTGTTGGAAGTGGCATCAACATAATAATTCTGAATCTACTGGTGCGTATAGCTGAGTAGAGAATATAATGATGCTTTGAGAAAAAAGGGTTCTCGCACCGGTAGAAGAGATATATAAATATGGAATAGAGTTATATAAATATGGTAAAGAAGAACACTAAGGTACTAGATTTGAATTGGAGATATTGATATAAATTAAAGACTTACAATGTCTGTCCAATGTACAAAGTACAAAGAGGCAACTAGCCCTAGTAGCATAAGAATCCAATTCTTGGTTTTAAAATACCAATCCCTTTGAAAAAACTAAGAGTCCTTAGAGAAATGGCTAATATCAGGTCTGGGGCAGAACCTAAAACTGTATTATGCAGTTATGCCACAAAGTAAGGAAGTATCAAAGCATTAGGGGAAAATATCGAAAAGACGCAAAAGCAGGTTTGAAAAGGTCCCTCCCTGCTCTCAGGCCAAATAAGGGACAATTGGGTATGAAAAATAATAATGATGATAATGCATAACGGGCTTTTAAAAGAATCCAAAGACCACAGTGATATACAAAAGGAGAAGAGGGCAGCAGGGAGCCTCGTTATAAAAGAATACCTACTAACAAATTTAAAAGAAATGACAGAAGCTTTAAATCGTCATTTTAAAATCATTAATGTAATAACTGGTGTAGGTGGGGATCATCAAGAGCTAAAAAACATTGGGTAAAAGATTACTGGGGAATAAGATGTTCACATGACCTCAAGTATTATCTCACAGATTACTCAATAATCACAAAGAGGGAAAGGCATTGACACGGACTTTAAACAAATGACTAAACCCAATGTCATCAAGAATGGAACTGACATTATGTGACTTTTGATAGATTGCAACAGAATGTACAAAGTATCATCTGTGCCTTTTCTTGCTAAAAATATTTGACCTCATCTAGTCATGAGAAAACAATGGACGAATCTAAATTATTGAACATTCTCTCAGACAAGCCTTCTTCAAAAATATCAATGTCATAAAAGACAAAAAATACAGGGAGACTACTATAGATTAGAGCAGACCAAGATCATAATAAATTAACTGGGTCATCTTTGCGCACTCCTGGTTCGAGAAATTTTAAAGGATATAGAAAAATATATTTGGGACAATTTGAATGTGGACTAAAACTATATATGAGAATGAGTATTATCATATCGATGTTCATTTCTTAGGTGTGCTAATGGTCTTATGGTTATAAAGAAGGTACTTGTTGATACGGGAGACATGCTAAAGTATTTAGGGTGAAATGTCTTAATACTTGCAACTTTCAAATGGCTCAGGAAAAAAACATAAATGGGGGAAATAAAGATAGCAAAATATCTGAGGATACATGTATTCATTGTTCTGTTCTTCCAACTTTCCTAAAAGTTTGAACTTTTTCAAAAGAAAAAGCTGGGGGGAGGGGAGATTAAAAATAGAAACCACCATATTGTATACATTTAATAATGTTTTACGATCTTCAAATACATATTGCAAAACTACTTACCTTACTTGAAGTTGTAAGTAGGAAAGCCCTTTGCAGACTATCCTTTTCAGCCAAACAGAATTGCAGCCTGCCAATCTCTTCTTTGAAATGAGTAATCATGTTTTCTTTGTTTCCATCTATATTCTTTAAAGTCTGGACCTCTGACACAAGCTTGGTATTTTCTATTTCTCTATTCTTCAAATGTACCTGCAACAATGCTTGAAAATGTCAAGAATATTCTAACTCCATAACCTAAGTTAGTCAAAGTTTAAAATACCATTGTTTATCTCTAACCCAAATACGATTAAGGGAAAGGAAGACTTCCTCTTTTTTTCCCCCCTGTCTTTATTGAAATATAATAGACAATTAGTTGCTTGTAAGGAAGACTTCCTCTTTTTTTCCCCCCTGTCTTTATTGAAATATAATAGACAATTAGTTGCTTGTAAGGAAGACTTCCTCTTTTTTTCCCCCCTGTCTTTATTGAAATATAATAGACAATTAGTTGCTTGTAAGGAAGACTTCCTCTTTTTTTCCCCCCTGTCTTTATTGAAATATAATAGACAATTAGTTGCTTGTAAGGAAGACTTCCTCTTTTTTTCCCCCCTGTCTTTATTGAAATATAATAGACAATTAGTTGCTTGTAAGGAAGACTTCCTCTTTTTTTCCCCCCTGTCTTTATTGAAATATAATAGACAATTAGTTGCTTGTAAGGAAGACTTCCTCTTTTTTTCCCCCCTGTCTTTATTGAAATATAATAGACAATTAGTTGCTTGTAAGGAAGACTTCCTCTTTTTTTCCCCCCTGTCTTTATTGAAATATAATAGACAATTAGTTGCTTGTAAGGAAGACTTCCTCTTTTTTTCCCCCCTGTCTTTATTGAAATATAATAGACAATTAGTTGCTTGTAAGGAAGACTTCCTCGATTAGGAGTCAGGAGACCCAAATTCTGCCAAATGACTAGCTAAGCAGAGCAGAACACAGTTTTTCCATTTTTCAAAAAAAAATTTTTCCATAGAGATTAATTCTAAGGTCTAACAACATTACCTGATCACTAAAGTCTTTTCCTTTGATTTAATGATTTTAAATTCTCTTTAAAATCGCAAACAGATTTGGTTGTTCTTTTGAGAAAACAGATTATATTAAAGATATATTCGGATAGTAAGGCACAACCAGATTCTGGAAAACATCTTAAAGTAATTCAAGTTTTGCATGTGAAAAGTACTGTCATTTACGTCCTGTGTACCTAAAAATATAGTTGTTGATTAACCCAACTATTATTGATTTTCCCAGGAACTTTGGCTGCAGCTGCTCATTTGCTCACAACAGATATACAAATCAAATTCTATAACTGAAATGATAAAGCATACACATATCTAATATCCACAATAAAAGAAATGAATTAACATACTTCCTGCACTTCACTCTTTAAGAGTATCAAATGCTGTAATACTAATTTCTGTTCACAAGGACAGAATTTAACTCTGGCTTCTCTAAAGGTGTCAGCAGTCAAGACCTCTGCAGCATCACTTTAAAAACACTACCTAATTATCATAATCATCAGCTCATAAAAGTATTTTACAATTCCTCTCAATTCTGATAGGGCAGTGATGGGTTATATGACCCAATAGGGGCCAGAAGAGAGAGAAAAGGAGTCTCTCTAGTTATTCATGTGAACAACTTGGATGGGAAAGTATTGTTCTAAGGTTAACAGTATACTATGTCATACTTGTTACGTGGAATCTCCTTGCCAAAATAACACAAAACAAAAATCCTAAAAGAAGCATTTTACTTTTTAACTTTCGAGGTACACACACACAAATAAAATGAAACACTGTTCAGAACACTGGGAGGTTGGAAAAAAGTGACTCAAATGGAAATTTCAATGTCACTTTGATTCCGACTGCTAATGCTTACAGAAAAGCAGATACTGAAACACTGTAAAAGAATAAATATCAAGAAATCTCATTCTTTTCCTTCTTTCCTCCCTACCAAGTCTTTTGCAAAGGACTCATCATTCAGGGGTACGACCTACACACACAGTCTTTGCAGAAAGTAAGAAAAAACAAGAGATAATATAAGGAATAAAAATGCTGGATTTACCCTAAAACGTGCTCGCCAACTCTCTATAAAACACCAAAAGTGCTGTTCTCAGAAGAGAGAAAAGAAAGGTAGAGTGGTAAGGTGACAGCTTTAGGGACAGCTTTTCCTCTTTCCAAAATAAGTCATCCTAGTTATCACTACATTGGTTCACTTAGGACCATCCTAAACCCTTCCCAATCCAGCAACACGGGTTTATTCAGGACCTTCCTAAACCCTTCCCAACACTAACTAGTAAGCCTTTATATTTATTACCAAATTAAAATGAATACATAGATATTCTATTAATCGTATTGTTTCTCACTGTGCTAACAAAAAGAACACAGAAAGCAGTTAATTATCCAGAGAAAAAATGCCCAAGTCTTTTCCTAGCAACAAAACTCAAACATTCTCACTGAAATCCATAGTAACATTCAATTTAAAAATGTTATAGATGCCAAATTGTCACTTAGTTAAAAGATGCTCTATATAACTTCAAAAAATATGCATTTGGAAGTAGTCTTCAAAATCATATAAATGGTATTCCAATTGCATCAATTCTCCTCTTCTAGATAGCTCTATTATTTCCCATTTTCACAAAATCTTGTTCAAAAACCAAACATTATTTTTAGGTACTTTCTCTTAAAGGGTCAAATCATAAAATTATCCACCAGTTATCTTCAACTATTTTTCTTCTTGTTTTGAAAGCAATACACGTGCATACCCACATGCACGCAGCCCCACTAGGGGCAGCAGTATTCCAAGAAACAGAATGGGTATTAGCCCATGACAAGCAAAAAGTCCCTATCTATGCTCTACTCTGAGGTGCCCAGCAGACTCAGTATTTTATTTTTTTATCTTTAAAAAACAAACCACCACCACCACCAGAAATGAGAAGGAAAAACCCACTATAATACAACAAATCATATTCTAGTTTTAGTTTAAATTGTGGCTGTCAAATACTGACTACACGCAGTTGTATGCTTTTATCTTTAATCAAGTTATGAGTATTGTCCTTTTCTACTCTAATCAAGAGACTGAATCTATCTGAATAATATTGACTTAACTCAGAATGTTCTTGAAATTCCTTGTCTGCAACTATGATCAGGAACTGCTTATGAGCCACATAAGACAAATAAGTCTCAATCTACATCTATGTTACTGACAATTAAGCTAAGTATTTCAGAATCACTTAGAAAAAAATGCAAAAGGTGAAGATTTGTTATCGGTAAGAATATCTTTTTTAAAATACAGTCTCAGACAATTATTCCCAAAGTCAAACTCTAAAACATGGCCATCATCACTGAAATAATGTTCTCCCTAAGGTTTACATGTTCTTAAAACAGGTAAGTAACTGGTTATGTAAATCCTGTTAACAGATATCTTGTCTTGTTACTGTAAACCTCTTTGACTTATACATTACCTGCTAAGCATCTAGAATACCAGCAAACTCATTTCCTGGAAATTACTTTTATGCACTATACACAATGAGGTAGTTTTAAAATGTATCCCCTAATCTTTTGATACTCCTCTCTTCAAGAAATGGAGCCTAACATTCCCCCCTCTTTGAGTGTCGGCTGGACCAAGTGCCTTCCCTCACTGTACAACTTTGGAGACTGGGTCATAAAATGTACTGCATCTTCCTCCTTGCTCTCTCTTGGATAGCTCACTCTGAGGGAAGTTGGCTGCCAAGTTGTGAGGACATTCAAGCAGCCACTGAAGAGGCCACACAGCAAGAAACTGAAGGGCCTCCTGACAGAAGTCATAGGAGTGAGTCACCCTGACAGCAGATCCCACAGTTACAATCAAGCCTTAGGCTAACTGCAACTACCTAAGAGACCCTGAGCTAGAACCACTCAGCTAAGCTGCTCCCAAGTTCCTGACCACTAAGTTTTGGAGTAATTTGTTACACAGCAATAGGTAATGGAAACGGAAAGAATAAATTACCTTATAAAGTTCCTTCTCATCCTTTTCTGTCTTTAATTGATGTTCAAGTTGTTCTCTTTCACACTGTGCCTTCCTGAGTTTGTCCTTTAAACTGAGGTCAAGTAACATTAATGTAGTCAAAAAAACTTTGTTAAAACATTTTTAAAACAAAGATGTTTTTTAAAAGCATCAGAAATACCTGTCCAATTCAGTTTCTTTTTCAACTGCTTTATTTGTCACTAACACAATATCTCCCTCAAGCCTGAGAGCTTTGGATGTAGCATAATTGTATCTCCTCTTAAAGTCTTCGTTTTCCATTTTTAAACTTTCTGATTCTTCAGTAAGACCCTTAGAAACAAAGTGTTTTGAGAAACATAATTAGTAAGACAAACATGCATATCTTTAAGAAATCTATGTATTCTTAAATTTTAATCCCATATTTGTCCCCTCCAAAGTTTATAAGCTAAGACTAAAAACTAAACCTGAAATTGAAACATACATTCAACTTTTCATATATTAAATAATTTTTTCCTGCACTTTTCATATACCATTTCCTCATTTCACTAACTTCTCCACCAGAGGGCAGGCAATAAAAATGAGAAAAAAATTTTTAGTCATTTTCATTTCTCACATCTCACTTTTCAATGTCATCCCAATGACAAATCAGGTTTATACAGTATTATCAAGGTTAACACCCACTTATCACATATAGATCACTAAGTGCCACTGATGACTATACCAAAGCACTAGGTTAAGAAAAATGCTTAAAATAATGTCCCTAATGCTCCTGCCACCGTGACTCAGTGGTCAGAACATTCAAAGAAACTGTAACAAATATAAAGAGGTAGTAAATTTAATAAAATGTATTTCTATTTAAAATAAAATATTCTACCTTAAATAGATACCTTAAGAGTATGAAATTTAAATCACATCAATTAAGACAAGTATTGTATGAGAGCTCGATGATGCTCTTCTATATACCTGTTTTAAATCTAAAATGGAGATAAGGCCTTTTCTGCCTAGTTTATAAAATTATGAGAACCAAATACAACAATGTGTACACAAGTACTCCATTGTGGAAAACTACACATCAATAGAATTGATAAATTAAGAAACTGTTTTCATTAAAAACATTTTTTAATTTCCCACTAAAAGTACCGCGCCCAACAAATACAAACTAAAGAAAATCACCAAATGTATCAAATATTATAAAAGTACTTACAAGCCACTTTGATTTTCATAAACTCAACCAAATTTTTAATTTAAGGTGAATCATCATCTTATGTTAAATATCTTGCTAGAATATGAAAATTGCTATGTTGCATCTACACAGCATTAAAAAGCTTATCACAATAGTGGTCAATAATACTCTTGGTTTTATTTTTGCTCAAAGCAAATGGTTGCCTTACTGAATTTGCAACATTAACCAAAAATTGTTATAAAAACTAAATGCTTTTCTGATTCCAATACAGTGAAGAAAGCAAATAATATTTATTCTCTTTGATATAATTGTTTTAATACCCAATGACCCTTGCTAAAGTTCACTGATTTTCAGTTATTTGTCTTGCTGATTTATGAAGACAGCCAAAGACATTTCTAAAGAATTTTTTTACATTTTTATTTTTAGTTTTACTAAATGCTCTCTTGGCACCACAGATTAAATCCACGTGTTTCTCCCAGGGACAAAGACTAGATTGCCCAGAGGCAAAAACAAGTTTCTGATTCCATAATTAATGAAGTTCTATAGTGGGTAAATAGCATTTCCAAAAATGGGGCAAGAACTAGAAGAGATTCATAAGCAACTAAATGCAAAACATGAACTGCTTTATCTATGAGTCAGTTAACTCTATAAAGAGTCACAAATTCATTCCAACGATAACTTGTGAGTCTTAAAATCTTTCTGGTACCCATAAAGTTACCTGATAGCTTCTCAGCATCCAAGTCTATTTTCAAAAGACATGAAAACACTAAAGCAGGGATGTTTTTTCAGGTTTCTAGTTCTCATGTCTGAGGGAAGCATAAGCCTCTTTAATGGGGCTACGTCTTCCTTAGAATGAAAATGGCATCAAAGCCCCTTGTGTACATATAAAAAAAATAAGAATCATGCTTTAAGAAGAAAAAAAATTTTTAAGAGTAAAATCTACAATACAATCTTTGAAAAACACTTGCAACTTAAGATAAATATTTGTTTGGTAAATATTTGCAAATCATACCAAAAAGGCATCATAATTCTAATATTAAAACACAAAAACTTAAAACAGATAAATAAGTGCACTACACTGTGCACAAAAAATGTGGGCAGAAGGTGATTAAGAGATCTGGCATTTCAGATTCATGCAGACTTCTCACCCTGCTCCTCGGATGAAGAAACACTGCTATCATGAGCCACTATTACCAACTCCCCTCAAGTCGTAACTCTCAAAAATGAGCAACCAGAAAAGACTGTGACACTTATCTATGTAGCTAAACATGCACTAAAAATACATAAAGAGAACACACATTCTCACGTTTAAAAAAAAAGCCAAAATTAGTTCTGATTACAAATTAATACACATGAAGAAACCAGATACAGTGATCTCTGAAAATTACTTAGAAAAAAAGTTACAGTATTCTGGATTCAAATGCATACAGCAGTAAAATTTAGTAAATACCTGAATACTTTAAATAGCAAATTATTGGCAAAAAAATTGTTACTTCTGGAAACTGCTAATAGATTTTAAAATTAATCTTACTCAATTGAGTTAATCTGGCTTTTCTCAAACACTCTGCTTCTTGAAATCAACTAAATACGGAGCTATGTAGAGAGGTACACAAAATATAAATGTATCTTCTCTGGTTTCTAGAAATTTAACAGACAAAAATATAACTGACAACAACGTACAATAATAAACTGCCTTCATAGCATCAAAATAATGGGCTAAAAGGCAAAAATAAAATAAATAACAATAATTACGCAATTGTTCACTGTCCCCATAAAAACAATCTGTTTAAGTTCCCATTGTGTTGTTTTAGTAAACTAAACTGATTGAAATCACATATTATTTTAGTGGATTCATTTCAACTTATTTTACATCTGTGAATTTAAACATTTTTAAAGATCAAATATTCATATAACCTGTTCAGTAATATACTTCAAATTTATCTTGAGAAAGCCTTATACTTTTATTCAAACAACAAAAACAAGAAATCCACTACAAAAATATCTATAAAGAATACTGTTCATATTCCAAAAGGGTAAAGTTTAAATACAATAAAATGTAATGAAGACTAATTCTACTGTCAAAAATATGCCATGAGCAAAGAAACTTAAATTCTACCTTTCTAAGAGAACATCAGATCAAAGGATTAAGTGTTTTGGTTAGAGAGAAGAGAGTGAAGAAAGGCCACAAATACTACCTAATGTCTAAATTATTTCCTGAATGTGTATACACATTCCACAGAGAAATAATTTTAATGCCGGGTTGCATATATATTTTTAAAGAGGTAAGGAATAAGAAAACACTTAGGATAGCATAATTTTACTTATATTAAGTTGCCTTTTATTTTAATGAAATTGAATGGTTTATGTGTATTGTTATCATGATCTGTTACACATGAATACGTAACATGATACAATCAATGAAACAGAGCCCAGAAAAACACCCAAGCATATATGGTCAATAATTTACGACAAGCCAAAAATATGTAACGGGAAGAGGATTATCTCTTCAATAAACGGTACTGACAAAACTGGATAGCCACAATCAAACGAATGAGAATGGACCACTATCTTACACCATACACAAGAAACCAATTCAAAATAGATTAAAGACTTAAATTTAAAACTTGAAAACATAAACCACCTCAAAGAAAAAAACAGAGTAAGGTCCTTGACAAGCTCAATGGTTGTGGCAATGATTTTTTTAGATTGACATCAAAAGCGAAAATAAACAGATGGAGCTACATCAAACTAAAAAGCTTCTGCACAGCAAAGGAAACAAAAAAAATGAAAAAGTAACTTCCAAAATGGGAGAAAATATTTTCACATCAAATATCTGATATGGGGTCGATATCCAAAAGTATATATAAAGAATTCACACAACTCAATAGAAAAAAAAAAATCGAATTTAAAAAGGGGCAGAGGAATGGAACCCAAAGACAACATGCAAATGGTCAACAGGCATTCGACATCACTAATCAGAAAAATGCACATCAAAACCACAATGGGATATCACCTCACATCTTTTAGAATGGCTGTCATCAAAAAAACAAGAGTGATGGAGAAGATGTAGAGAAAAGGGAACCCTTATGCATTGTTGGTGGGAATGTAAACTGGTGCAGACACTATGGAAAACAATAGAGGTTCCCCAATAATTAAAAATAGAACTACCTTATGACCCAGCAATATACCCACTTCTGGGTATATATCCAAAGGAAATGAAAACAAGATATGGAAGAGATATCTGCACTTCTATGTTCAGTGCAGCATTATTCACAACAGTCAAGATATGGAAAAAACCTAAGTGTCAACAGCTAAATAAAGGTATGGTACAGTATCTAAAATACAATATTTAGTTATGATAAAGATGGAAATCTTACCATTTGCAACAATATGGATGGACCTTGAGGGTATTGGGCTAAGTGAAATAAGCCAGACAGAGAAAGACAAACACTACATAGTATCACTTTTATTGTGAAATATAAATAAAAAGTCAAACTCGTAGGGAGTGAATAGACTGATAAAAGAGTATAAAGTTTCAAGTATAAGATGAATTAGGTCTAAGGATCTAATGTACAACATGGTGGCTACACTTAACACTGTAACTGAAATATGCTGAGAGAGAATTTAAGATAAATCAGAATTGATGAATGTGTTCATTAACTAGATGGGAGGAATCCCTTCACAATGTATACATATATCAAATCATGACCTGCACTTTAAATATTTTACAATTGTGTCAATTATACCTCAATAAAACTAAAAGAGAAATAAAAAATATATTCAATGTCTTATGTAATACAGTATAAAAATATTTCATCTTATACTTGTCTTAATCCATACAAAGATGTATGAGCTAGTTCAAAGTACATAAATGTACCTATACTTTAGAAACAAATTATAAACTATTACTAACAAATCAGGTGCAAAATAAAAATAATTGGCTTTAAAGAAATTTATTACTATATACACATAAGTTATAACCATCACCCCCTACACATTAAAATTACACTTTTATGTCTTTTTTCTCAATGACAATCAATAAAAAAAAAAATTCAATGATGTCACAATTTCCAAATTGATTTTTGGCAATTCCACATGAAATATGTATTTAAGCAATTGGGTTAATTCCATATATTAAGCAGCCCAAAACTGGGTATCCAATGCAATGATAAAGGTACAGAGAAGAGAAAACCAAAAATATAAAGATAGTTGAAGAGGTCCATACTAGCCAGAGCCACCAAAACATGAATGAATGGCCTTTTATGTTTTCTCACTCCTATAAATACTATAGCTGTGGTTAACTCCCAAATGCTGGTAACATCTCAAGGTACCAAACTTAGTTTGTGAAACTTAAGAACCAACACAATATGAATATATAAAACAGTTCATAATATGGTTTTATTGTCTAAGCAATATTGTTTCAGTAAATATATCCATCATATACTATCCACATTAAAGAATATACTTTCTAAGTCTATCGGAATAAGCTTTTGATCTTGTCTATAGTATTTAACCCTTTGACAGCTGGACAGTAGAGAGAACCTGCGAGTGTTTAAATCTTAGCTAATACTCGATGGGACCAGAGGCATGGCCTGATGTACAGAGGCATGGCCTGATGTACAGGAGTACTTCCACACAATGGAAGGCATTCTGCCACTCCTATTCTCCCAATAATCCATTCTTTCCTTAGATTTCAAGGTGATCAGAGTCGAAACATCAAAGGCCACATTTCAGGGTATTCTTCATCTCATGGGCTAAGTACATGCTGCAATGGGCCATTTTTGTGAGTCGTCTTCTATCTCACCTCTACTCTTTTGGCTTGTAATACAGTGAAAAAAGTTGGCATTCCTATCTGGAAACTGCCAAATCCAGGTTCAAATAATAAATGTGTGAAGAGTAGAGAGAAAAGAGTAAGTAACTACACAAGACAGAAAGGGAGTTAAAACAATTCAATAAAAACTTAGCTGAATGTACTAATAAGGCAGGCACATATGAGATTTTATATTTTAATATTTAGTACACCTACTTAAAAAGTTCAAATAAATAATTCCTTAGCCAAACAGAACATTCTGATCCTACTACAGGATACTCCTACTGCAGCATACCTCTACTGGAGAATTCCAAGTGTTCCCCAAGAGTAAAATTGGGAGAATAACTGCAGATTTTAAATTAAAAAGGCTAAAGGTAATAAAGACAAAAGATTTTACAGATGTTTACAAAGAGATTTACAATTGTACATGCTCCAACTCAAAAAAGCAATCCTCAAATAGAACAAGGCAAGAGAAATCTTTTCAGGATTTAAGCCCTATTGGACATCTCAGCACAGGTGTGAATATACAACCACTCCACTGGAGTATAAAATGGTTGAAATTACTGCACTCATAGTTCGAATTACAATTATTAAGCAACTGCTCTGGGCCCTGTTGAACAAAAGAATAGAACAGACCCCATCCATTGGGAACAATACATCAATCCTATCAACGGACATAGTGTATCCAATTAGTTATGTTAGATTACAATATGTCAAAACAAATCGCTTTTCTTGTGAAAATATTAAATAAACAAATCAATGAGTAGGTGATTGCTTTTCCTCTACTTTTTTCAGCTAACTTAAATCCATTTGCATCTCTAAAGAAACCAGTTTTATACTTCTCTTTTTCTTAGCTCAAGAAACTGCACCAATATTAATTAGGTTTTTAGAATAATTTATAGAATTTCTCAAATCAAAGATTTCAAAATTTTGTCTAACACTGTATCTTATTTCACTGAATTCTACTTTCATGAAAAGTATTTTAACTACTTTATTCTACTTACCCTTTATTCAGTGTTTCTTATTGCTAATTGTATTTCCAGCCCCTCTCCCTAAAAATCAATCAAATATTCTACAATTATATGCAAAATATCTAGTAACACTTGTCAGGGACTACATCAAGTCTGGAATAAAAATCCAAAATTTTAATCATTTACAACATAAAAGAAACTGTGGCAGAGGAAGACAGAAACTGACTTGTTCTTATACAAGTATCTATCTAAATGTTACTGTTTTTCAACACATGGTTTTCACTCACTTTAACTGGTTCAGTTCTTGAAAAAATATGAGTTTCAGGCACTATACTATGTCAATTCCAATCAGTTACACAAGACAAAACCAACCTTCTGCTCTGCTTGCAGTTGGTCACATCTTTCTTTTTCATGGTTAAGTTCTCTTTCCAGTCTTTCAACTTGTTCTCGAAGTTGTGTTGTTTCTTTTTCCAGAACGGCAATTAACTTTAACAGTTCTTCTTTTTCTTTCATAGTTTTCTCAATTTTCAACTATAAAACAAAAAACTCAAATTTCAAAAAAACAAAAGAATTCATAGAAAGAACTTGTACATATTATCTACTTCACATCAATGAGCCTCTTTCAGCATTCAGTTAGAAAAATTCATGAATCATAAATTTAAACTTTCTTTTGGTTAAGCAAAGAAAAAACATTTAAAAAAATACAAAATTCCAAGACAAGAAAAAGCTAAATACACCACCAAAGAGCTATTACAAGAAATGTTAAAGGAATTTTAAAAAGGAAAAAAAAGATCAAAAATATGAATAAAATGGCAGTAACTTCATGCCTATCAATAATTACTTTAATTGTAGATAGATTAAATGTTCCAATCAAAAGATACAGGGTGGGTGAATGAAGAAGAAAACAAGAACCTATACACATGCTGCCTACAAGAGACCCACTGCAGATCAAAAGACACACAGACTGAAAGTAAAGAGATGTAAAAACATTTCATGCAAACAGAAATAAATAAAATGGTTGAACAACAATACTTATATCAGACAAAACAGACTTTAAAACAAAAACTATAAAAAGAGACAAAGGACATTTCACATATGACAGGCAAGATATGAAGCAACCTTAACGTTGTCCATCAATAGACAACTGGATAAAGATGTGGTACATATATACATAACAAAAGATCACTCGGCCATATAAAGAATGAGATCTTGCCATTTCAGACATTATGGATGGAATTAGAGGGCATTATACTAAGTGAAATAAGTCAGATAGACAAAGAAAAATATCATATTTCATTTATATGTGGAATCTAAAAAAAATAAACAATCAAAACAGAAACAAACTCATAGATACAGAGAACAAACTGATGGCTGCCAGATTGGTAAGGAGGGGTCAGAGGTCTGGGTGAAAAGGGGTAAGGGATTAAGAAGTACAAACTGACAAAATAGTCAAGGGTATTTGAAGTACAGCATAAGGAACAGAGTAAATAATATTGTAGTAATTATGTATGAGCCCAGGTGGGTACTAGACTTATCAAGGGGATCACTTCGTAAGCTATATAAACGTCAAACCACTATGCTGTGCACCTGAAACTAGTATCGAATGTCAACTGAAACTGAAAAATAAAGCAAAAAAAGGTACAAAATCAATGAATTTTATCACGAAATTGCCTGCTAGTTACTTTTCAAATCAACATTAAAATTAAGGCATAAAGTTCCCTAGTGACTTAATTCTGGGCTTTTCTCATCTTGAGTCAATAATCAAGAAAATGTGTACCTGTTCTTGAATGCAAATCTATGGGAAATCATTAAATCTTATCAAAAACATCCTCATATGTTATATAAGGCCTTCATCTATGGAATTATTAATAAAAGTTTTGGTTCTTTAAATAAGGTACTAAGGAATAAATTTCTATATACAATGGCCTCCATTTGGCTGAACTAAAACTTTATTATAAGTAAACACAAATTTTAGGACAAAAATACAGACTGTAAAAATACATAACTGATTCTTATGGGAACACTAATAGTTATTTAGTACAGGAAAATCTAAGCTCCAACATTCTAAAATTTACTAAATTAAGGGACCTAAAGTAGTAATAAATAAAATGGTTTATTTCTCCCACAGAATAAAATCATTGATTCTAATAGAGGAAGAATGGACACTAAGAGGAAAGAATTCACAAAGGAGGAATCATACATCTAGCTAAAAATGTCTTCCCCTCCATACAGGATCCATGATTAAAACAGCTTTTATAAAAGCTGAAGGATCAAAAATTTTTAGAATAACCCTTCTAACTCATTCATTACATCAAATGCAAATGACAGGAGTAAATGCCCTCAAAAGAGAAAAGTTTGTTTATTCGCTGAATTTTTTTTATACCTTACCTTTTTTTAAAAAATAACTTTGGCTGTACATTTTCTGCAAGCTTAAAAATAAAGATACATCTTGGCATAATGCAAAAGAAACATCATAAAAGAACCACTTTTTTCCCCAGTGATTCACTAACTGGCACATACTTTCTGAAGAGTTTACTGAACCTTAAGTAGAAATTTTTAAAAGGAATTCAAATTAAATAAAAATGTATACAAGTCTAATTTTTGCCCCCAATTTTGTATTTTAAAATCTTTCAAGCACACAAAAGTTAAAATATGATAATGAACACCCATACACCCATAACCTAAATTCACTGATTAATATTCTGCCATGTTTATTTTATCTCCCTTTATACATAGTACTTATATTTATTATGTAATTTGGACTGGGGGGTGGAGAGGCCTACAGCATTTAATATGAAATTACAAACACTTCACCCCTGAGTACTCAGAGAAACCATCTTCTAATAAGAAGAGTTTCCTATTTGACCACTAACATTATAAGAGCTAAGAAAAATTAACAATAATTTTATAACATCCAATAAATAGTCCATAAAAATCTAGGATCTAGTCAAGGGTTCATACACTGAAGGATGTTTTCATTAATCACTTTTAATGTCAACAGTACCCAGATGTCTAATTTTGAGCAGGTTTACATAAAATCATTAAAGATTTTAATGAATGTAGAAATTTAAAAGACTTGTCCAAAACTGGTCAGAATATAAAAATATTTTAGCTCAGAAATATTTCCCTAAGAGAATACAATTAAAATTTTCTTTATAAAGTAACTTTTATGAGTAGGAAGAAGTGAAATAAATTGTGCATGTCCCAATTAGAAAAGGAGCAAAAGAGAAATGTAGATGCCAAATCGCCCATTTTTCTGTTGGAGGCCCTGAAATCGGGGTGGTCTAACAAGTATTCAAAAAGCTGCAATATAAACTATCCGCATTCTTCTTAAGAGCTGAGCTTGTTTCTGCATCTTTGACTAGCATTCGAATACCAGGCTAAATGTTTTAGTCACCCTATAAAAGTTACATTTCTCTATTTAAGATAAGAGAAGAATTTTTGGAAAGGGGAAGGGAAGATATGAAAGAATTCACAGTAAAAAGTGATTGGTTCTTTCTAGCCTTCTTAGTTCTACTGTCATTATTTTATCTATGACCTTTTTCCCTAGCCTCAGTTTTTGAAGGTAAATAAAATCAAAGGCATAAAATATTTATATATAAAAAAGTCCATCTGAATATAAAGAAAAAGCAATGACCTGCCACAGACTAAATATGAATATAAATTAAGCAAAAATGTATGCTGAACCAATTAAAGACACTTTTCACAGAAACTCGAAGGTAATGTTCTAGTTTAAGTTTAGGGTAAAGATATTGACATGTATCTTAAAATAAGAGTGTTCTATTTTCTTCTTCATTAACTACTAAATATTAAGACATAAGGCATTATTAGGCCGTCTACACAGTAAATTTCTAATGGAACCAATTTAATGACTCCAAAATTAAAAAAATATTAAGATGATGTTCACCTTTCTTTAATTATGGTTAATATAAGCTTATTTATTTGATCAGATGAACAAGGAAAAGAAATCATTCTAAAAATGCTCAACCTAAACTTAGAGACTGGGAAAGTTTCCCTGATTTACCACCACGCTTGGGACAGAGCACGCTTATGGTATAGTAAAATGAAGTTCACATCCAATTAGTCAGATTTATTGTTTTACACCACTTTCCCTCCAGTTTCACCCCCCAAATCTGTACTATTCCACAATCAATGGATTAGGCCACCAAAGAAGAAAGGTTAGTTTGAGAGAATATCAGGAAAGCTGTAGTTCTAAATTCTCTCAACGGTTATTTACTGCAGATCTACCATACACAAAATAATGAAAGACCCTAGGGACAGTCCCTGCCACAGTGAAATCAATAACATAATTGTGACAGAAAAAGTTTTAAAGTGTTTCAACAACAAGATGCTAAGCTCATTATTTTATTTAAAAAACATTTGATTTTTAGGTTGTACTCTCATATAACCTGCAAATTCTTAAAATGGCAATCATCACATGTCCTCACATGCTCTGGTCTTACAATGATTTATATAGCACCAGCTCACTGTTGGTACCAACCTCAAGAAGACCAGCTTTTGTGGTCACCACCAACATGTCAGAATTTCCTTCGTCTTCCATAGTAAGCAACTCTTCAACTGGAGAAGCAGCTCGAAACTGGAAAGGTGTACTTGCTCCTCGAATTTCACCCTTATAGGTAACGTAACAAAATTGATAAAACTCTCCATCATCATTTGGAAGGTAATACCCTAAGAGGAAGTTAACAAAAAATATTATGAAATTAGTGTTATTTCTATGTAATTTAACAATACTTGCCATCTCCTCTCATTCCTAAACCTGTTCTTGGCATTTAGGATATCTTTCCTCCTATCTTTCATAAGTGATCAAAACTAGACTTTCTTCCCCTAACCTGCCCAAATTTTTCCTTAGTCTTAAGTTTATACTCCTAGAATATCCTTTCCCCAAATCTTCCCTAGAGCTAAAGTAACTTATCTGGGAGAGTCAAGTATGTAGTTTTCAATGAGAAAGAAGCTAGAAGAGTGAAAGAAATCAACATAAAAATCTAGGAGGACTGGGGGTGAGAATGCCATTTAAAGAAATCTGTCAAATTTGACAATCACTACATTTAAAGGGGGAGATATTAACAATAGGAATAGGCTACGTATGTGAATTGTGTAAAGTCGGAAAAGAGGATGAGGTCCACTGGTGCTGTAGAACAAAAATAAGCTTTGGAACTACATGGATTAATTCTGGAATTCCACCTCTACCACTATTATTTACCTAACCTCCCTGAAGCCCAGTAAAATAGACATGAAGCCAACTACCTGAGTTCCAAAGTATAGATAATGTATTCATACCATCTATCTCACTATCTGACAATTTGTTTAATATTTGTTCCTTCTCTCAACTCAATTGTTACCCTCGCTTTTAAATTTTGCTGGATTATCTTAGCTCAAAATTAATCTCTCTCCTCTCCGAAGCTCCCACTGCATTTTTCTCATTTAAAATAAGCTCCACAGTATACGCTGCATTACTATTCATTACACGCATGCTTTATATCCTATATCAAGACCTCAAGAAATACTGAGGGCAGATATATAATAAACATAAAAATTCTGGAATCCTCCAGAATGACTTGTAAAAATGAAGCATTCAATGACTGTGAAATGAACATACAAAGATGAATATATTCACCGTACACCTTGGATAGTAATATCTACCCAGAAATCTGTAATCACTATGCCTGCTATTCTTTCATACCTTAAAATTTTCAAACTCCTTATTATGATATCTACTTTACTTGATTTTATTATTTTAAAAAAATAGCCTTTTCCCTTAAAAACAAGGAGGGGCATAAAAAAAATACATGATTGGCCTAGAACATATTCTGGTGCTTCAAAATAAGAAAGAAGTCCTTAAAAAATAATTATGGAAGGAAGAGAATGTCCAAAAAAACACATAACTTTGCAAATGGCCGCTAAAAAGTTTAAAGAGAGGACATGGTTCCATAGTGTAGCAGTTAGCAAGTCTGCTTTACAGGCAGAAGGTCCTGGGTTCGAGCCCCAGTGGAGACAACGTCCATGGTCTATGGCCATGCCACCCTGAACAAGCCCAATGTCTGATCTCAGAAGCTAAGCAGGGTTGGGCATGGTTAGTACTTGGATGGGAGACCACCTAGGAAGACCAAGTACTATAGGCATAAATAATAATAAAAAATAATAGTAATAAAATAAAAAGTTCAAATAGAAAACAAAAATATACTCAAATCAGTTCCGATATCATGACATTAGAAATTCTACAAACTAGGTATTAAAAGTATGATATTTTAAAATCTCAAAAACACTAATACCATAGCCAAAGAAAGCTAAACCAACCTGAACAAAGCCATGATAGTATTAGACTTTATTCTATAGAAGAAAATAAATATCCATAAGTACATGAGAAGGAGACTTTTCCTAACATAATTCCAACTAATAAATATACAAGGAATGAAAACAGAAAAGCATCATTAGGCAAACACAACAATGCTGTTTTAGACAAGATCCAGTGATGGACACTAAAATTTGTGGGTTAAAGTCTGAGGAGAAACAAGGTATTTTCTTAGTTTCAAAGTAGCTCCCCAATAATATTACCAAGAGAAAACTACTAACTCTACAGTAGAGAAACCCAGCAGACACCACCTTAACCATATGATCAAGATTAGTATCACCAGTAATAAGATACATGGATATCAAGTACTCCCTGACACAATGTACTAAAAAGGGTACAGCATTTCTTCTGTGGTATTCTTCCTGAAAATGTATAACCTAGATCTAATCATAAGAAAGCCATCAGACAAACCCAAAATGAGAAACATGCCACAGGAAAAAAAAAAACTGAACAGACTGAACGGTACTCTTCAAAAATGTAAAGGTCATGAAAGACAAAGACAGAATGAGGATTATCACACAATGGAGGAAACTAAGAAGACATGACAACTAAATGTGGGATTCTGGACCGAATACAAGAACAGAGAAAAAGAAATACAGAGAAAAAGAACAGTATTAGGAACACTAGTGAAATTTGAGTAAGGTTTATACTTTGGTTCATAGTACTCTACCAATGTTAAACTCCTGGTTTTTAAAATAAATGTTCATTGGTTATACAAGATGTTAACATTAAGAAAAGCTGGGAGAGTATAAGGAAAATTCTGTGTACTATTTTTGCATCTTTACATCTAAAATTATTTCAAAATATAAAGTTTTTTAAAAATATGAAGGTACATCTGGTGATATTTTTTAAAGTTTTTAAAAACCCCACCCACCCTTCAGATAGCTACTACTAAATCTATCAATCCATGGCTCAGTAACTTTATAAATGGCCACTAGACTTATTTAAAGCTTAAATAGAAAACAAAAATATACTGTGACTAATCAGTTCTGATATCATGACATTAGAAATTCTACAAACTAGATATTCAAGGTCTGATATTTTAAAATCTCACAAATACTAAAAATTATGGTGCAAATACCATTTGCAGTACAAGATGTAGTTATTCAGAGTTGCAATTTAAAGCTATCTTAAAAAGGCTCTTGTAAGATTAATAACATTGAAAATAAAATAGGAAAAAATAGAAACCAAACTGAGTCAAATTTTATAGTCTGTGACATTAGCAATCAGTCAAATTATAATAAATAAATGAGGCAAACAATTACATTTCTGTATTTTTGTTAGTTGCTTTAAATTTTGCATTTCAGGATTCTCATGACTCATTCATAAAATGAGCAAAGTGATTTGGATTGTGCTTAAAATCCCTCCTACATCTAATAGTCTATGGCTAAGTTTTTCATGACTATCTTGACTTCTCTATATAACAAACTAATTCTAGGGAGGGAGAGACTTTTATGTGTCAATTTCAAAGTAAAAATTAACATAAGTTTTCAAAAACTTGTAAAACTTACTGCACTTATACTTAGCTCCCATGAAAACGCTTTTAAAGTATAAACATAAACTAGGTGTCTTTTTTATTGGTTTTACGCTTTTTGTTAAGTTGCTAAAAAATAAATGCATTAGTCACTATAACAAATTCAGAAAATTATTTATTATAAGACTAACCACATTAAAAATGACTGGAAATAAACCACAGCTTTTAAAAACAAATACTGTAATAATAAAATTACTTCCAATATGCACTCTTGAATTTGATTATCTTTAAAAAGGACTAAGAATTAAAAGACAAACTACACATATAATTTGTAGTATTTCTTAATCCATAAAACCTGAAAACCTAAATCTTTGCCTATATTACAGTACAAATTTTTCTCTGAATATTTGTTTCTTGACACAGCATATGAGGAAATGTTTTTATATATGCAAGCTCCGTGTGGTCCACATTGCCAACCGATGTCCACAAAAACATATACAGTATGAACCTCAGAATAAAGTTTAAAAAAAAAAAAAAAAACACCAAAATCCAAAACACTAAACACCAAATGTTGGCAAAGATGCTGGACAACAAGAACTCTCAATTATTGCTGGTGGGAATGCATATAGTTCAGCCACTTTGGAAAACAATTTGGTGGTTCCTTACAAAACTAAATATACTCTTAACAAATGATCCAGCAATCATATTCTTTGGTATTTACGTAAATGAGCTGAAAACTTACATACACGCAAAAACTTGTGCATAAATGCTTATTATTTACAACTGCCAAAACTTGGAAACAATCAAGATGTTCTTTAATAGATGAATGGATAAACAAACTGTTACATCCATACAATAAAATAGTATTGGTTTCCTTTGTAATTCTATGAATTTTGTGTATTATACTGACACAGAGTTTATTAGTTTCACCAGACTAAAAAGAATCAATGGCATAAAGACTAAGAATTTGCTTTAATACAACCCAAAGTCAGTATAATTATAATACAAAATCACTCTACAGCAAATCCTGTGACAGATTTCCAAATATGAGTATTTTTTTAAAACTGTATATAATAAAGATAAAAATGAATTTTATATTAATCACTTATATCCATTTTATAGGCAACTCTCCCTAAAGAATCAATATAACTACTCTAAATACTGTTAATCATCTTTATGGCTTTCATGTAAAATATTTTTCTCACCTCTAATTTGTTATGTTATGCTAATATCAGTAAAGGCATTGTTTTCTCATCTGAAAAAAATCATCAAAAGATCTGAAAAGAAACCAACTCTTCAATGAAAGTTAACGAGCAAAAACCTTTGCAATGTCTACATAAAAATACCATGTGGCCTATACTAGATATTTACATTCTTAAGACTTTTGCTAACCAAATGTTTCAACTGTGAATATGCCAGATATGCCTAAGTAGATAATTACAATGGTATACATTTTTAATGGCAATAAAATATCTAATTTCATCCAGTTCTGCAATTTTCTATTCATACCTTGAAATGCTAATACACAATTGACTGTTGATCCTTCTACATAATTTTCAGGCATAGGGGACCATAAAAATGTATAATAATCACGAGCAGTACTCCATCCAACCTAAAACAACAAAAACATGGATATTATTAAATAAGTTAACATTAGAGTGATATCTTACAGCATATTGTTTTTTACTGCATCCTAAAGACATGTGTTAATATGTTTACAAACATAGTATTTTAACAAGCACATCAAATTCTATGATTTTATTAAGCTATAATCTAATACTATAAAAATCTATATAAATTGAACAGCTGAGTTTCTACTATATATTAAAATGTAATCTGATATCTAATTTTTCAAGGAAAATCTTAGTACCAAATATGAAAACTTATGTTTTGCTTAAAATTCGAATTCACTAAACATATTTTTAAAACTTATTTTATGCCTGAAATTTAAGTGTTTAATTAGATTCCCCCTGCCCCTTAAATCCACTAACTTCATTAATCTCTCATTTTTAGCAAGTCTTGCCTGCAGCAAATTGGTAAATTTTTTAAAAAGGTCTTTATGTTTGCATATACGAATAGACCACTTATGTCCCACCTAACTCCAAAACACTGTTCAACTTAGAACATGATTATATACATTACATATTTATCTGTATTTTCCAGATGGACTGTACTGTATTAAACACCTATCAGAGACATTTAAAACATGTTAAATATCCATTTGCCAGTAATATTACAAGAAATTATGAATGTCCGGAGTTAGATTATACATGTTCTATAATTCTGATTAACCTAGGATTAAAGATTACCAAATACTGAAGTAGGAGGAATCTTAGCAATCTTTAGTCTCTAAAGGAGTGTTTTCAAACTGTAGGTCACAGACCCAGTAGGAATTCACATTATCAATTTGGTTCATTACATTTTTTTTTTTACATTTATTTTTTAATTATATAGAATTCAAAAGTATCAGAGTGCATGAAGGCTAAGCATTGCTTCATGAAAATTTGTTTCAGGTGTATTTACAAGAAACTATGCTGATTCGAATCACAGAATTCATTTATTTCTGTGTGTCATGGTCAAAACTATTGAAAGACACTATAACATTCATCTCTTTACAGATAAGAAGCTTAAGGAATCTAAGGCTTGTGTTTTTCCTCAGAATCGTTAGAAGGATTAAATTAGATGAACATAAAAGCAGCACTTAAGAGTGCCTGACCCATGGTAAGAACTCCATAAGTGGTAGATTTTGTAAGCACAATATACTGTAGTGATTAAGAGCATGTAACGATTAAGGAATTAAGCTCAGACTGCCAGAAAAAATCTCTTACTAGCTATGACTTCAGACAAGTTGTATGTATGTTAAATGAGATAATCCCAGTTTAACACTTAACACAGTGCCTTGCATATCAGTGTTCACTAAATGTCACCATTCATTAATATCCAAGGACACAGAGACTTAAGGACAGTGATCTTGACTCTGCAATGTTCTGTCCCTCATTTCATATCCCCTAATGTTTCTACCAACTCTTAAAAAGAGCCCATCTAAAATAAAGTTTGTCCCTGTCCATACACTAATCTTGAAAAAATACTATCTACAGCCATATCGTTCTTGAAAAAAATCTCCCTACATGAATAGGTTCTATCCTGGGCAAGGTAGACAAGAGAAGGGCTGAGTGTGCCATTTATTTGTGATGGCTGACACACAAAAATGCTAACAACACAATTACAGATTTCTGATTCAAGTGACACTGGGAATAACAGTAACAGATAGTTTACTGAATGTTTGTTTTGGAGTAAATATGATTATCCTCATCTCAGAAACTAGGAAAAGGCCAGTAGATGGCAGAGTCAAGATCTGAACCTGAAGTTTAAGCTCTAAACCACCAAGACACTACTCACTCTTCTGTCAAAATATAAAATACTCTCATACTTTCTGAAATTCCACTTTCTTCCTTCCAACACGGAGTCTATATACCTGCATTTGCAAAGACTTCCCACTGCCGGGAAGAAAAAAGCCTACAAACTGTTTAGCCTAAAACTGAAGCTCTTCCTTTTTTACTTTGAATATACCAACCCAATAGATAGAGTGAAGCTTAATTCCAACCCTTCTCCCTCCACTTCCCTAAATGAAGCTAACGTTCTAGTTATACTGACTCACTATCACGAACATTCTCACCTCTATGCCTTTGCTTGTAACATTTTCCCGACAGCAATGCCCTTCTCTCAATCTCAATTCCCCGTTCAATTCTTCCTCTCTGACCCACTATTGCAGAAAACACTACTTCTCCGTCAGTATCTTTAACTTGAAACCCATACCTCACATGTCAAAACTGATACACTGATTTCATAAAATGCTTATCAACGCAACTGCATTTTAGAATTTGACAAGACACACACACACACACACACACACACACACACACACACACTCTCTCTCTCTCTCTCTCTCTCTCTCTCTCTCTCTCTCTCTAACAGTAAATAGTTCCTCTATCCAGCAACATCGAGGAATGAGAGATTCAAATAGGAATTGAAATATTAAATGATTAAATGCCAAAAATTTTGTTTTGTCCCATATAGGTTTTCAGCCCTCCTCACTATTAGGCTGGACTTTCACTTCTGAATATTCTCAGTGCACCTCATTCTAACCACTATTCATTTCTTTCTACTTTGCTGTTTACCTTATACAACCCAAACTATCAAAATTTCGAGACCATTAAAATCATATCTAAAATAAACTGATTCTGAGAATCTAGAGTAAACCAGGAAAAAAGTTTTATTGTTTAAACATTTATAACATTATTTTGACTGCTCAAAATAATTATTTTTACTTTCTTCTTTAATGTTTTGGTTCTTCACTACATTCTGAAGAGTTAAAATTACCAGAAAACCTACCTCCAGCACAGGAAGCACCAGTGTGATGATAGTCTCAACGTAATTTTCAAGCATATGTTATACAAAATGACTGGCAAAATATAAGAAATGGGACTCCTGCCATCAAAGAATTTACAAGTCATATAAAACAGAACAGTCTCATAAAAGTGTAAGACAATATGAGCAATATTTAAATATAGGACAATAGAAGAGATAACGACATGGTTGTAGAGCTGTATGAAATTATAAATGACTAGAAAAGATAGTAAATGATATAGTAACCCGAACAAACAGATCATTTTTCAAGTGAGGAAGGGAGAAAATGGAAAAAGAAGAAGATTCTGAAAAATTTTTCACAGGACCTTGAATAAAGTTATTAAACTTTTGATAATAGAGAGGAAAGCCTGCATTGAAGTTCCCAGCATTTGTTGTATACTATCTTCAACTGTTAAATATTTCATTATATAAAATGTTTGCATTTACAAATGTAAATGTTCTACATTTGACATTTTCAAAAATGACCCTTAATATAGTGACAAGGCTAGTATAAACTACTGATCAACCTGTTTTAAAAAAAAAAAAAAAAAAAAAGAGTACCCAGATGAAAGAAATATGCAGACAGTTTTTCTTACCTTGAATATTCCAACCCAATCTTTTGGATGTGGATGGATATATGGAGTTAAGGTATAATGACACTCCAGGTGTATATTAGGAAGATAACTCTTGGCCACATTTTGAAAGATGACATGGGCAAAGTTGGAAGTCTGTGGGACTTCTTGAAAGGATGTCATTGTGAATCTGAAACAAGTGAATCACACAAATTGAATAATCCTATCTAAGAAAAACTTACAGCTTCAGAAAATATGTATCACTGAATGCAAATTACATATATATTTACGTCATAATTTTTTGAAAAGACATATGCTTCTGAATATTAGAACTCCTCCTTAAAAATGAGATTAAATGTAAAAACAGAAAAACCAGGAAGTAATTTCCATATGGCTCAGAAAGTTGCATAGGTGTTAAAAAAATCTAAAAACCAATATCAAACCATCAACTCTACTGAAAAGTTTAGCTAGCTAGCCCTCTGCTTCTTTTGTAACCAAGAGGTTCTATGTTGGACCCTTGAACTTCATTATTTTCCTCCCTAATCTGACATTCCATCCTCCTCTAGGTTCTAGGTTCCTTTGCTAATCTTTCTGTGCCTGCATTCCTGACCCATCTCCATGATCCTCCCCCAACCCCCAGCAGCTTTCCTCAACCTTGGCTACATATTAGAATCATTAGGGATCTTTAAAAGAAAAAAAAGACAATGATGACTGTCTGGAACTGGGTGTGTATACTCATCTTTCTTTTAAAGTCTCCCCAAGTAATCTTAATCCGGTATATGGCCAGAACAAAGAACCACTAATTATACTCTGACCCAACTCAACAACATAGGTCTCCATTATCATCTCTCACTCGTTTCCACAGATGCCCAGACCCATCCCATCTTCTTTGGCTTCTGGTACACACTTGTTCAGATCTCTCAAACCACATAAAATCGCACCTGGCCTACTTGAAATAGTTCAGCCTATTTTTTCCTCTCTGCTTATACCAATTCTACCCTTTCATTGTGGGTTCAATGACCCTGCCTTGACTTCCAGTATTCATATTTTTTCCCATTGATTTCCACATACTTACTGATTAAAATAAACACACATTTTTTAAATGTATAGTGTCAATTAAATACATACTGCAGAAAATCTATTATGGATTCAGTAAATGCTTACTGGCTTAGTGAACACCAAGAACTGGATAGCAGATAAATGGTTAAAGCAGACTATGAAAATCTACAGGATCCAAATTTTTCCCATATTTTGTACTCTACTATTGAGAAAAAGGATATGACTGAGGATTAACTCTAAAAAGCCATGGATACACTGTGTCACCGGCTCAGTACAATCACTGATTCTACTGTACACTTAAATTATAACACTGGCCCTATGGCACCAGCTTCTGAGTCATCAAAACAGGATTCTCTGTAATAGGGAAAACTGGGTCAAGATTTTTGCTAACCAAATTAATCTAGTTCACAAACCAATGAAGTTTCTACAAGGCAAGCACAGTGGTAAGACTCTACTCGTATTTTAACAATTATTAATAAGTCTTTATTATTAGGAAGATCTAAGATAATATGCTTTTACAACTGTTTCTTTTGCTGACCTGTTTGAAAATACTAAGGCAAATTTTTAAAGTTTTGAAATAACGAGCACCTTAGAAAATATCCACTTTTCTTCATGTATCTTCTCTGCTTCTGCTATGATCAAAGTACTGCTTTACCGAAACAATATAGTGGGTATTCCATAAAGAGACTGTCAACTGTGAACCTGGAAGCCACTGTGGTAGAATACCAGGTTAGTTGTCTATTAGACTCTTCGCACCTGAGGTTTCCCAGAATTCAGAGGTAAAAACAGTGCATTCAGTAGCGATCTTCCACTACTCTACACTAACAAAAAGGCTCTATAACCAGCAATCCTATTTCACAGAAAAACTGAACTGTCAATACTCCCCAATTGGTAACCCAAAACCTTCAGGAAAATGAAAAGGTAGCACTTAATAGACCCTGGGAACTCTGCCTAAAATAACTGAAGAGTTCTATTTGTTCCCTTGAATTGTCTAAACTAATCTGGGTTCAAGGGGATGTCATTATGCTCATGAAGTCACTAAAGATAATTTCTATGCAAGTCAGGGGTTTCATAAAGAAGGGAAAACCCCATCCAGATTTTGGTTTTGAAAAAAGTGTTCACTACTCGTTATAAAATACCAATAAGGGAAACTATAGCTAAATCAATTGAACCAGCTTCTAATAGATGCAACTACCTAAATAAACTGAAGCAAGTGAATCAGTAATATATTTCTACAAAGAGAATAAATATTTAAGTTTCTCTGAGGAAGATATTCGGTAAGGAGAATAAGGCTAGTTTAGAATGAGTTTCCCATGTTTTTAATTAGAAGCGGTTTAAGAATGAAATTTTTTTAACACATTTCCTAAGGTCAACAAAATCAACAAACCTGTAATTATGTTATAAAACAAGGCAGTGGCATTTAAATTTTTAACCTCAAGTACAACAGTGATTTAAAAATCCATAATTCGCCTTACACTTTTACTTCATTGAAGTTTTTAAAGTATAAAATAGCATGAAAGTATACATGTGTTTATATGTGTATATATGCTTATAAATGCATCAAAAAGGACTCAAAAAGTACACAACATACACTTAGGTCTTTACTCATTAAGAATATTTTTAAAATGACTTCTGACTATATTTTTCTCAGAATATATAATATTTTCATTCTTTTAAGCAAACATATTAACATGAAATTTCCTTTTAAACTTTCTGCCCAAAATTCAAGTTTCTTAAAGAAAACCTTAACATCAGACTTTAAATATACGCATGATGCCTATATATCTAAAGAGTAATCTGACAAGTGCTCATCCTAGTAATAATCTTCATTAATCCCTCTCCAACAATAACTTAAAAATTTCGATGTGATTACAACTACAGAAATTTTACAAGTCATTCCACGCATTACTTTCTTACTTTTTTTATTAAATTCCAATATATCTTCTAGTGGTAAAGCAGTAAATGCGGATAAACGTAATCTGAATGTAATTACAACACGTATCAACCCACTCTACACAGTAAAATTAAGTTTCTAATTCCCATTCAGTTCTTGTTTCACTCCTCACACAGATAAGAGTGAAAAGATGGGCATGCTTACAAAAATACTGAAATTCACTGAGAATGCCAATGTATCGAGATGATCCACAGGCTGATTAATACACTAAGTATGCTCGCACGCACGTAAGTGCACTCACAACCACCCTGTGGGAAGTAATGTGCAAAGTCACTGCATCACCTTGTGGTAATGGTTGGGAAGTGTAGCTTCACAAACATCATGAGAAAAAGAACTGTATCTCACTCAGCTGGAGAAGGGAAATATAGCCCCCACACAAAAAGGTAAGTGGAAGCAGCTTTACCACCGAATGTTTCTTCCCATTCTCTAAAGTACATCTCCACGGTACATTCCATTCTCTAAAGTACAAACATGGGTACATCAAGATGCAAGCCAAGGCTAAGTAAAAATTTCCCAGTCAAGAATTAAAGGAACCATAACTTAGGCTGGGAAACAAAGTCTGAAATGCATACACGTGCTGTCTGCAGTGCCCTCCTTCCATGTTTCCTAATGTATTCCCTAAAGTTCTAACATCTCCAGAGTTCCTTTTTAATGTGTTATGCTGTAAACTTCATACTATAAAGTCTTTGGTCCAAAATCCAATTTGTTTTTTGGGGGAGTCATCAGTATTTGAAGATAAACAATATGTACTGGGCATTCAGTTAAGTAGCTAAAATAAATTTGGGAGAAAAAAGGCATTTCAAAAGTTATCTTTACTTCCTCCTGTTAGAACTTATCAAGCCCAAAACAGATCCGGCTTTTGTGATAGTATTTTTCCAGTGGCTCCTGTAATTCAGTTTACATGACTAGCCCAAATATGTAAGCCTTAGTTAAAGTAGAAAACGGATCATACAAAAACTTCTAAGCATTAAACATACAAAATCAAAATAAGTTTTAAATTTAAATATTTTATATAATTTGCCAGTTCTAACAATCAGAATTCAAGAAGAAATAGGTAATTTTGTTCTGTGTTATAGTATTATGGTGGCTGTATTTTTTCAAAGCCCTTATCAGTTAAACACGGTAAACTATGTGAAATATCCCGATGTCTCAGATTTGCTTTAAAAACTCCAGGGGAAAAAATGTGTTGGGGGAGGATTATAAAACAAGATTAGCAAAACAGTGGATCCTTCTACTGTTTGTTCTCCTCTTGTGCATGCTTGAAAATTTCCATAATAAAAGTTAGTAAAACCAGAGCAAATAAAGATTAGTAATAAATCTGGCTAACAGCGAAAGTTTAAATTTTTCAGTTAAAAATATTTTTTTATAATTATCTCCAAATTTCGGTCCTATAGGATACACAAATATCTGAAGGAAAAAATGTCTGACATTCGAATAGTTTCCAATTATTCATACTTTTAACGCAAACAAAGACTGTCAGCTGGTTTACAGGCCAGAAAAATGTTATTAGCAATCTTTCTGGAAGGCAAGCCGAAGCAAAACCACCAATCCGTAAATCTGCACTTAGAGAAGCCTATTTCCAGAATTCTTTACAGGTGAATGGTGCTACACTCTGCCCAGGTGTTACACCACTTCTTACTTTTTAGATTATTTTAAAAGTTTATAAAACGCTATGATCTTGGCCCATATACATTAGAGGGGAGAAATTTTTTTTCTTCCATTAAGGGTTTACTTGGGGCAAAATAAACTTTAAAAACCGTAAGTGCATACAGCCAAAATTTCACTTAGAAGTATCCAAATTCCAAAAACTACAATCCAATAAACTTCACTTGTGAGGTAATTCTCCCAAAGAAGTATAGAAAAGCATTGTTAGGATCTTTCATAAATATTTAACACCATTAAAAAGGTTGAAATTTAGAATTCCACAATACCTGTTATTTCGTTGAGAAAAAAGTATTTACTGGCTAATTCTACAAAAATGGCTGCACCGATAATGGATAAGTAGAAACCAAAAATACAGTAGAATGTTCTCTGAAGTTTCTAACCATCAAGTAAGCCCTCAAGAAATCAAATCCACCCTTGCCAAGAACAGAACAAAAGCCTGACCTCAGCCCTCCTCCATACCTAAATAGTACTTTGAGGGCAATCACCCTACTTTCAGAGTAGCAGGTTACTCAAATAACTTCTTTAAATGCTTTTGGAATAGAGCCCCACAATTTTAATTAGTAACTGTGCAGTTTGCAGAAATTTTGCTAATTAGAAGCATGCACAGTTGAAAACTTATCTTCCTATCTAAATCCCTGACGTAACAGTAATTCATAACTACTGTGAAACCTAAAACCTAATTTATGTAGAAAGTCAAATGCCAGTGTTTTTAAGCAAAAGGTTATCAACAAGGTATTATACTTTTATCAATACACCCACGCGCACCCTAATCTTTAAACAAAGATGCTCCAAAGCGAGAGGAACGCTCTGTCAGGACTGTGCATACACTGCAGACCTGCGGGGTGCTGGGCTGGAGAAAGACTTGTGAAATCAAGAAAAGCTGCCTCAGCAAAGAAAGATGCGACTCTCGCCAAAAAAATCTGTTAAGATCCCTGGGGACACTCGGCGTAGGGACCATTCATAAACAGACGAAGAAAAACAGCGTTAACTAACGCCATGACCCAGGTGAGACAGGAGATCAGGCCCGAGCAGCTAACCCCGCCCGCGGCCCCCCAACGTAAGCAGCGCAGGCAGTCTCCGCCTCCTTCTCCCCAAGCGAATCAAACCAAAACACGGGTTTCACTCCGCACCAACAAGCCCGGGCGTCCTTTCCGAACTCGATCTAGATGTCTGCCCAAGTTTCCCACGGCCACAGCACCCACCCTATCCTCAAAACACTCACCCTAGCGCTGAGCCTCGGGCGAGCCAGTTTCTTCTTTGGGGGTCCCCCCGGTGACTCGCCGCCCGCGCCCCATATCCCCCTCCAGAGCCCACATTCCACACGCCTCCCCCAAATCGCTAAGGCCTATCTCGGGGCCTCCCCGCCGTGGGGGGCGGCCACTTGTCGCTTTTTCCAACTCCACTGCTAACCGAAGTCGCCCACAACCCCGTCACAATCCCAGTCCGGGAGGAAAGGTTTGTCCTCGGCAAGGAAAGCGTCGTCATTTGGCTGCATCATCACCACGGAGACCATTCCTGAGACCGGCCAGGCCCCTAGACTCTAGGAGCTGCGGGGGCGTCTCACGAGCCCGCAAAGGGTTTCAGCTGGAGTCCGCTCCGCACAGGGCGCTATGGCGGACAGGGATAGCGCTTACCAGTAAGGGGCTCCCGGACAGAGCGGGAGCCTTAGAGAGGTTTCCGAGCCTGAGCCGCCATCAGCCGCACAACCTCTTCCGCCACCACTGCCGGCCTCCAGCGACCGGCTACCCTCCCCCTTGGAGCCAGATGCCGGCGTACGCCACTTCCGCCCGCGGCACCGCCCCTTCCGCCGCCGCTGCCGCCGCCGCCGTCTCCGGGGGCCTGGGGGCCGGGTCTCCCCCAACCGGTCTCGCTACCATCGGTTATCTTATTTACCCTTACGAGTCCGAACCTTTTCTCTCGATCCGGCTGCTCCTCTTTCTTCGGTCTTGTCCTTTTCGCTCAGAGACCTAGTCAAAACCAAACAGGGTCCGTTTGAACTTGCAGTTTTTACTTTTTAAATATTACTTCACCGGAAGGTTAAGCAACTTTCCAGTTAAGTGGTCAAGGGTAGCCGAGCGGCGTATTACCATGTCGTGTTCTTAAAAATCTGTCTAAGCGAATCCTTTCATTTAATAGATCAGAAAGTAAACCCGAGAAATGAAGTAAGCGACCACACCGCTGAGGCTGCGACCCCTACTCCTGTTGTCTCCTACTCCTGTTCTTGTTTACTATTTCTCCTAGGAGTTTTTCAGTTCTAATGCTTTATGATTCTATTTCCTCTTGCTCCAGCAGTGGCCTCTTTCTGCCAGCACTTCTATGAGTGTTAACTGCTTTCGTTATCTGTGTTATTTTGTGTGTTGTGAATTTGTCCTGTATTTTCTGTTCAATTATAATTTATAAAATCGCTTTTGACTGTTAGGTTATAGCTTCCTATATTAGGCATTTAGTTTGAATCTTAACTCCGCAGAAGCAAGTGTGTTCTGTTCATCATATTTCTAGGTTGCCATAAAACCTGATAAAATTTCCAATATCACCAGATAAGGGTAATAAATTAGATCATCACATTAGACGTTGAAGCACCTCCTAAGTATAGCACTACAAACTCCTCTTTGATATACTTTCATCTTCACTTCCACATAATTAAGATTACCTTCAATAATATAAGTTCTCAATATTTGCTGACTGATTTTCTATATACTGAGATCTTTGAACTTGGTCTTGTTCTGTATATCCCACTTGATCATAGAATTAAAGAAGAACCATTATAGGTCATTTAGTCCCAACCTCTTCATTTTACAAATGAAGAAAACAGTGTGATATCAATAATCACTGATGTTACTGGTAGCAACCTTCTAGTAGCAGAAATACCTGTCCCTTAAATGTAAGTATAGCAGTGAACTTTACGAACACCGTTTTTCAGAGGTGTCACTCTTTGTATTTTTTTTTAATTCACATACCACACAATTCACCCATTTAAAGTGTACAAAGTAAAGTCGTTTTTGGTCACTACAGTCATTTTTAGAACATTTTCATTACCCCCAAAAAGAAGTACCCAGGAGCAGTCATTCCAATTTCTCTACAACCCTTTTTCCCCCTTGCACCTCTTAGTCCTAGGTAACCAGTAATCTACTTTCTGTCTCTGTAAATTTGCCAGGACATTTCATATAAATGGAAGCATACAGTATGTGGCCTTTTGCAACTGGTATCAGAAATACCTGTCCCTTAAATGTAAATATAGCAATTGACTTTATGAGCACAATTTTTTAGAGGAGTCACTCTTTGCATTTTTAATGACATTTAATGACATTTATTTACATGTAGTAAATTTCTAATTACAATTTTCAGTTAATGCAATCAGAAAAACAATACACTTAATAAAAGCCATAGTTGAAAAACATTTTCATGCAGATATTTTTACTTTATTTTGTTAATTTTAATAATTTCTTGATTTTTTAGACCTTATTTTCCCCCATGAAAGTATTCATTTAGGAACTTTAACTTGCTTTAGTCCTATTAATAATAATCCCTCAAATTTTTAGGCAGTATTTCTCCCAGCGAGGTAAATATATATCATTTTAGTATTTAATTGAATTTTTAAAAATTAGCCTATCTTACGTATAGTAGTGTACTAGGGCTATAAGACATATGGATTCATAATCCCTTATATGAAAACTTTGGGCCAGATGAATTTCAGGATTCTGAATTTTTCATACTTTAAAAAAGTATATTTTGTTACACGACATCCCACAAAGTCTGAGGCAGCACTCTGTAATCTAGTTAACATTTTTTCAGGAAAAATTATGACTATCACACTAGTAAGTAGGAGAAATAAAGCATATAATCTTACTTCGGTTCAGAACAGGTTTTGCCATTTGGCCACCACAGGATCAGGTCACGTTTTATTGACAAATGAGTTTAGGTCAGGATAGGTTTTGCCACCAAATGTTAAAAAAAAAAAATTATTTTCAAAGCTTTTTGAATTTCAAAATAGCGAATAAGAGATCGTAGACCTGCTCAAAGAGTTGTTGGAAAGTAAACCTCTTAGTATCCCATAATAATTCTGGAATAATTCAAGTAGTTTCTAAGCAGTTGTCCTAACCTATCACATACTACTTATCCTGTATTTTGGTTATGAAAATGTCTAAAAAGACATTGTTTCTCTGTTAGAAGAATTTCTGATAGCAAAGGGGAAAAAAATAAATGAATCCATGAACATGTAGGTGACTATAAAATATACTGTAAAAATAAAATATAAAATAAGATACTCGGATTGGAGAATTCAGTATAGGCTTATGTGAGCAGTACACTGCTTGGAGGAGGTAGGCCTAGATTGTTAAAGTTAGTGGGGTCTTGATGAAAAGGTAAAAGGAAGACTTCAAGTCAAGGTCTAACAGCTTAGGCAAAGGAGTCAGACAGGGAGAAGACTTAACAAAAATTAATAATTCCAATCCGCGGAGTACCCAGTGCTTTTCAGGCACTCTGCTGGACACATAGGTTGTCTCCCCTCCTCACAGCCATCCTATAAGGTATTTTCCCCGTTCTGCAGGGGAGTGTGGGCTCAGAAAAGTTAAATCATTTGCCCTTTGTTAAAAAACAAAATTTAACCAAGTAAATTTGGAAATCTAATTGACTTTATTAAGCGATTCATGAATTAGGCAGCATCCCTTTTAGCAAGGAGAAAGGCGCTCCAAGGGATTGTCCAAATGGAAGGTTTTTAAAGGCAGAAAGCCTAAGAAGTTAAGAGTGGGTTATTTCAGGCGAAGATACCTCTTAGGGGAAGACAGGGTGTCTTATCAGACAGGTTGTCTCACCAGCTAGGATCAGGAATTTCCAAGCTGATTGGTTTAAAATTCCACTCCTGGGGGAAGCTGAAGCTACAATTAGGTGTTAAATCTAGGTTTGGTATCATGGGCTTTTAGCACAAGTGATGCTATTTTGGGCCTGCGGTTTTCTTTTTAACATCATGATCACAAAAAGGTCAAACCAAACCTGAACTCACATCTGACTCCCAAAGTTTATGCATTTTCCACCATGTCAGGCTGCTTCTTGATAAAGGCTTTTTGGTCATTTACTGTGTGCTCTGGGTTGTTAGGTGCTCTAGGGAAAACAAAGAATAAACCATGGTTTCTTTCTTGAAGCTGCTTGAATCTAGTTAAGATAGTACACGGCGGTATAAAGAAGTGTTAAGTTTGCAGGAAATGATTTTTGAGAAGTAAAGTGAAAAGGATTGATACAGAATAATTAATTTTGGAATTAGCGAAACTTTGTTAAAGAAACTGGACTCAGCTTTGAAAGATTAACAGGTTCTGAAAATGCAAGAAAAGGGCTTACGTAGAGAGAATAAAAAGGCACAAATGGGACAATTAGGTGGTACAACATGTGCTGAAAATTAGAAAAAAATCAGCTCACATGGGCATGTTATAGAAATATTACAGGTGTTGAAAGCAGGCAAAATAAGCTCTTAGCCTTTGGAACATGGCTTTCCTTAGAGTTGGTATTAAAGATTCTCTTTGCTAGAAATGATTCTCTCTTTTAAAAATAATACATCTGTAAAACTTTTTGTTAAAAAAGAGAGCTTTTAAAGACGGGACTTAAATAATGGTAGGGTTTGGTTAGAAGGGGGACTCAAAATACTCTAAAATAGGGTTGTTTGCTTTCTCCTTATGTTTGTAGGTGGTTTAATATACTCCTTGTTCCTGATTGCTTCCCTATCATTACTGTTCCAGATGTGTGCAAAAAACTTTGTTCCTTTGAGGTGCATGCCGATCCGTTATAATCCCTATTCCCTCTTTGTTGCCATCATCTGCTGATCTCCAAATCACTCTTCCTCATTCATTGAAGGCTAATGTACAGGCTTCCTCTCCATTCCAAGCCCCTCAGTGTCTACCTGGATGAGATTAAAATTAAAAGGCCCTCTTTCCGCTCTCTAAGGACACAAAAAGAAGGCAGCCATCTGCAAACCAAGAGGAAGACCCATACCCTATAGCCAATCTACCAGGACCTTGATCTTGAACTTTCCAGGCTCCATAACTAGACTGAGGCAGCACTCATGAAACCCCAATAGGCAGGGATGATGACCCTCCTCAGCGGGAAGCAGATACAGAAGAGACCTCCCGTCCCTCAACATTCATACTAATAATAAGGGGATTCATGGCTCTTAGAAAAGAGTTAGGCAGGGAAAAGTTAGGGGGTTTTAGTTCTGCCTGCAAAGACACTGAGGTCATTCTATCCTAGAAGGGGTCCTCCCTAATCCGCCCACAATTAAGCAACCCAGAAGGTATTTTTTAACTCTCACAAAGAAGTAGGCAGAGAATTAGGTACCAGTTTAAGCCAGTCACTCGCACCTGTGCAATGAAGAGCCCAAGGACCTTCACCTCACCTGAGCCTCATTATACCATCATTATAATTTGATGCATATGCCCGGAAGTTCATTAATATCATCATAACAGACTGAATCCTGGGAACAAACATGGGCAGAAAGCAAAATGATGAATCACTGAGTCCTGTCAATCCTCGCTGTCAATTAAGGAAACCCACCCCTCTAAGAAAAATGACCACCCACAGCAAATAGGGATAAAAACCCCAAAGGCTTTGTTACAAGGCCTTTTGAGCCACGCTTCTCTTGCTCAGTCCCGCTTCCACGTCTGGAAGTGTACTTTCCCTTCTAATAAAACTTTTCTACTGTAAAAAAAGTAAAGAGGCCAAAATCCTGGCCTTTTGATTTTGTGAATCCCTCATCTCCAATAATCTCCTCCACTCCACTCTAAATACC